TGCGCCAGCAGTCCTGGATTGTGAGAGGGATCCCAGATTGGAGAGGGTGCAGGCTGGGCTGAGGGACACACCCCCCCCTCCCCGTGCACAATTTTTGTGCACCGGGCCTCTAGTATATAATAAATTCCCATCAGAAGGTTGGACATATAATAGGTGCTTGCCATGAAAGACAGAAAGTATAATAAACAGAGTTTGCACGCTGGAGTTAGGAGCGGGGTTAGACTCATTGTGGTGATTATTTCACAATATATACAAATATTGAATCACTATGTTGTACATCTAAAATTAACATAAGGTTATATGTCAATTATATTTCAGCTAAAAAAAAAGAGAATCAAATCAGCCCTACTGCTTAAAAAGTTGTATGACCTCAGCCAGATGATTCGGCTTTTCCCAGCCTTATTTTCTTTATCTATAAAATAGAAATGCTAACATTTACCTTGTATGGTTGCATTGGGAAATATAAACTGATGAACAAAAACAGATCCAGAGACAGAGAAGCATCGATCAGACCGTCAAACCTCAGAGGGAAGGTAGGGGAGGGTGGGGGTAAGGGGGATAGATCAACCAAAGGACTTGTATGCATGCATATAAGCCTAACCAATGGACACAGACAACAGCAGGGGTGAGGGCATGAGTGGGGGTGGGGGGGCAATGGGGTGATAAGGACACATATGTAATACCTTAATCAATAAAGAAAAATATTAAAAACAAATAAATAATCTAATGTAGTTTAAAAACTGAGTGTATCACCTGGTATCTAGTAGGACCTCAAAAAATAACAGCTCCTAGTTTGGTTCCCTTATAACTCTATTTCTGCACTGATACTATACAACTTCCTATAGACTATATTACCTACTAAATGTAATCTTGTATGCAAAAATAATTTTGTAAAAAATAATTGAGGATTATTTTTCTTTCTTTGCTAGATTATGAATTCCTTGAAGGCAGGGACCATGTCTTACTTACCCTTGTATCCTAGAACACTTTCTAATGTGTTAAATCTTAGTTGTATTAAATCTTTCTTCTATGGTTTATGCCAATAATGAGATAATTTTCATAACATTTCTAAATTAGCAATTAATATTTAGTCTGTCAATGATTAGAAGTAGAATATATCCATAATATATTATCTGCCATCAAAGGCCTTTTTTCCCCCCTTGACTATCACACTTAGCTCATCTTTTGCACCTTTGGGTCTGATTCTTGCTCCATTAACAAAGCAATTCCACCAGGGAACATAGCTTAGTTTTGTGCAACCAACCACCTTCCCTGGCAACAACCTGTGTAGAGAGGCCATCGGGGGAAGACCTTGTTAGGATTCAAAGAGGCCTCAGAACTGTGACTTTTAACCATTTGAGGATTTTGGATCCCTCCAAGAACCTTCTGATAGTCTCTCCAGAAAAATATATTCAATATCTTGCATATAATGATAATGCCAAAGTGTCCACAGAGCTTCCACAGCGCTTGTACCTCAGGTTAAGGATTCTTGTTACAGTAGCCTTGAAAACTCAAGAAGCTTTGGGAAAAGTTGAAGTTTCCTGATAAATTCAGCCCTGACTAGTCACATTCCCATGTTCAAAACAAAACAAACAGTTATAACTCCCTAGATTTAACCTCAGGGTTGTCCCTGAGGACCCAGTCCTGAGCATTAATGGTAAGGGCGGCCAGCCAACCGGTGACTACTCTTTGGAAAACCTAAATTCAGCTGAGTAAAATGAAGCCTTGTTTGATAATATCGTTTACATTTCCAAATCCCGATATCGATATCAAGCTTTCTTCCTATCCCTTGTGGCCCTTCCTAAGTTTAGCTGCTGGTGTAATGGGGTAACCATGGCAACAACCACCTGCCTATTTAAAACCATCTCCAGCGCTAAATAAGGAAGCCTTGAGAAAATGGCTGCTTGCCTGCCTCTCAGTGGACAAATTGGGCACTCCTGGGTATGTTTAATGTGAGCAAGAAGCGGTTCTCAAAGCAGCAGCATGGACTCAAAGCTCTTAATAGAAAGTGTTCTGGGACCTTGTGAAACAGGGCCTAGCTCTACACTGCAATGTCTTCACTTATTAGCAGGCACATGGATTTACATGCAAATCCCCATGCCTGTCATTCTAGGTCAGTGGTTCTCAACCTTCTGGCCCTTTAAATACAGTTCCTCATGTTGGGACCCAACCATAAAATTATTTTCGTTGCTACTTCAAAACTGTAATGTTGCTACTGTTATGAATGATAATGTAAATATCTGATATGCAGGATGGTCTTAGGCGACCCCTGTGAAAGGGTTGTTCGACCGCCAAAGGGGTCGCGACCCACAGGTTGAGAACAGCTGTTCTAGGTGATTACACTACCTTGACCTCAATCAGGTGAAAGGCAAGGCATGTACCTAACTGGGAAGGAAAAACAGTCATTCAGAGAGCAGTGAATTTGTTCATACTTTGCATTGAAATGCGCAATTATAACAATTTCTGACAGAGGTATCTTTCTCATTGTATTCAACCATGTGAGTGATTGATGATTGCTCTATTTATGTCATATGTTGACCTATGGATTTTTGGAATATAGAGGACTGTCTCCCTCTCTGTGCTTCCTTGCTTTCTACCAGCTACAGAGGTTTTGCTTTTTCCCGAGCCAAGAGACCACACAACTGATCACACTGCACAGCTTGCTCTTGCCCAAACATGCCACATTCTTGTATTTCTTGGTATCTATGTGAACATTTAGCTTCTTCTCCTTGGGTTGTCCCTCTCTTTTTTGTTAACTTAGAAAACACACACCTGTTTTCTGTGTCTTGGTTTGGGCATCTCTGTTGTTGGAAAGCCCTCCACACCAAGTTCCATGCCCTGGCTTTGTGCTCCCATAGGTCCCCTGGATTCACACCGTTTAACGCAAAACTCATCAACATCTGCCTTCTAGTCTGTCTCCACCACGGGACTGAGAGCCCCTCACGTGTTTATTCAAAAGACTTCTGGCACAGTACCTGGTATGTGATATGTCTTCAATGGATGAATGAATAAACAGAAGCCCCATGGATTTCACAAGCATGTGGCACCCTAACAAGCATGTGTGCATGAGTCTGTATAAAGGTACCTGCATGAGAAGAGGACCATAAAAGTTTGGAGTGGATGGAAGAGAAGTACTTTTTTAAAAAAGTGATTTTGTATATATGGAAAAGATAGTGAGAAGACAGTCATCTGATCTGTAAGTCTGTGCCTATAACAGGAGTGGGGCTGAAAATATACCTGTTGAGAGTGTTTTGTGAGTGTGCACGATCTGTGTATGTGAAGGCCACGGAATATGCCTGTGACAGAATACACACCCTAAGAAGATTAGTTCAGCTACTATTAAATGCCACAGATTAATTTTCCTGATGCTGAAGTAGCTTCTTATGTTCAGTTTCTGATCTCTAAAAAGACTTTCTTCTTTCTGGCTAACTTCCCAGACTGTGGGGTCAGGGGGAAGGCTTAGGAATGAAAATGATGGAGCTTTTTAGGAATGGGTTTTAAAGGAATGTCTTCAGATAACACCAGACCACTGCATTAAAGAGAACCCTGAGGGCTAAACTCAGCCCATCAAGCTCAGTGTGAGTCCTTCCCCACCTGTCTGAGGGCAGAGTGGGGCCCAGAGGTCATCTTGAAATGGTACAACACAGAGGAAAGAGAAATGATGGAAATTAACTAACGTGAAGAAAAAAAGAAAGAAGGGGAAAAGGTAATTTATCAATCCCAGGAACAGCTATATGCCAGTCACCACTCACTTCTTGGAAATCCCTCCCGCCAGCAAGGAGGGTTTGGTTTTATTTGCAAATGATCTTTTTAAAAATTTTTCCTTTCTCTTTTCATTTTTGGACCCCTAACTCAGGGTTCGAAGGCTGGGACGGGAATCTGGTGAGCTCCGGTCCCGCGCCCTCTATAGGGCCTCCCTCTGCTGCCCTCTGCTGGCGGGGGAGGCGGAGGCGACGCCCTCTCTGACGCCGGGAGCTGCCACCCCCTCGCCTTTGAGACCGAGAGAAGCTGAGGCCCCTGCCTCCGCCCAGAGAAATCGCGGCGGCTTGGGGTGGAGGTAAGGGTGGCACATTTTGAGAAAGCGGCCGGCCGAGCCCCAGGAAGGTTCCACTTAGCCAAGCGCAGACTCCACTCCTCATGGCCGGCGCATCACTCCCTTCTTTCCGGACCCCACTCCACCCGACCCTGTCCCACCCCACCCCGCCCCATTCCTCCCTCTGCACATCATCCTCCGGGAGGGGGCAGGAGGCTAGGCTGCCGCAGGTCTCTGACATTGTTTTCTGCTTGGAAATGGAAGCCCTCCTTCCGACAACGTGGCAGGAAAGTGAAGTCCCTGGGCGGCCGGGCCAAGAACACCTCGGAGAGAGCAGGTGGAGGGAGGCCTCGGACTGGACCGCGGCTCTGCTCGGGGCGGGGCTCGGGCAGCGCTGCAGCCCAAGGGCCCTCTTACCTGCTGTTGAATTTTTCGGGGTGTTTCTCCCTCATCACGTGGAATCTGTGTGCAATGGAAGCATCCTGAAAGGGAAAGAGACAGAAAGCAGATCCCTGGTTAGTGGTCATGACGGTGCGATGTGGAAGGAAGGGAAGCACAGGCTCTCACAGAAACCCCCCAACTTCAGGGAAGAACAGCAGGTCCCAGGCTAGGGGGTAGTGCCCCCCATGCGTGTAGACTCCTGGCAGTATTCCCCTCTACCCAGCCATACTTCAGGGTGAGCGAAGGGGACAACCACTGCCCTTTGATTAGAGAGAGGGGGTCTGGGTCTGTGAGCAGTGAGAACGCCGAAGTGTGTGTGTGTGTGTGTGTGTGTGTGTGTGTGTGTGTGTGTGTACACACGGAGGATGAGCCTTTGGAAATATCTTGCCATATCTTTTAAAACAATACTTTTTATTTCAGAATATTTTAAGACTCACAAGAAGTTGCAAAAATAGTACAGTGAGTTCCTGTGCCCCTTCCCCCAGCTCCCCCCCAGTAATAACGTCTTACATAACTATCATGCATTATCAAAACCAGAAAACTGACGTTGGCAGATGCTCTTATATATTAACTCCTAACCACCCCTAAGAGTAGAAATAATTGTAGCATTGGGTAACGTGCTTAATAGATTTTAAAAAAGTCTATTTAAACCTCTGGCTTCTGCTTCTTGATCGCTCCTAGAAACAGCTGTCCCCAAGGTCAGTAAGAGTCAGAAGTGCCATTCTAGGGGCACTTTGCTGCCCTCCTCTTAGCACATCCCTTTGCTGCATTCCCGGCCACCTTCTCCTCAGAATTCACAGAGAGGATGGCTCCCATGGCACATGCTTCTGGGCTCTCCATCCTCAGATCAGAACTTCTTAGCCCTGAGTCCAATCTGTAGCCCACACTGCATTTCGTGTCCTCATGGTGATAGCATGGTCCAGTATAAGAAGGAACGTTGTGCTGTCCTGCACATCGGTGTATGTGTTTTCCTCCAGGTCAATGACTTGCTCTCCATACTCCAGAGCTATGGTAACTGGAGGGAGAAAGATAAAGGAAGGAAACCCTACAGGGTTGACACTGGTGGCCACCAAAGACAGATGGTCTGATGTTGTCCAAAGAGTCGCATCTGGAAGCCACGGAGTGGTCCCCTCTGACACGCAGGCTCCTTGACTTCAGAACATGACATTTGTTGTCTTAGAGAACTTCTCTTCATTTTAAATAAAAGAACCATTGGCTCAGGTACAGTTGAGAAGAGGGTAGGATGTACACATGAGCATAGGTGATGACAAGTTCTGCTCCCACTGGACTCGTTTTAAAATAATGGGCCTAATGTGAACCAAATTTTCTGAATCCTGAATGTTGCTTATTGAACCTGACTGAACAGTCTAGTCCAGCCAAAAAAAAAAAAAGACTGTACCATTTTATGTAATGATGTTTACTTTGAATTTATATTAGTTCACACAAACACTTCATCCATGCTTTTGTTCCGGCCCTCCGGTCCAGTTTAAGAACCCATTGTGGCCCTCGAGTCAAAAAGTTTGCCCACCCCTGACTAGATACTGTCCCTAGTATATCTCTAGTACAAACCCTGAGCTTCAGACCTGAAAATGAACTCATCTTTCCTCCTCAAACTTGGTCTTCCACCCTTGTTAATGGTCTGGTTTTCCAGCAGAAGACTTCATAACACCCCTTTTCCCCCTCAGCTCCATGGCACATGCCAGCACTTTAGGTGCAGTTGATGGACTACAAAATATATGAGTTAATTTGGCTGGAGTTGGGGGAGTGACCAAAAAACAAGAGAGCTGATTCAGATGTGTTCAGGGGAAAAATACAGAAACTCATTTACTATAATATGTGGCTAAAAGGGAACTGAAATTTCATACAGTGATTTTTCAGCTAGTGTATATTAATTCTGGCTCTTAATATAGAAAATCTACAAATTTCTTTCCCTGGAATTTTTTTGAACATAAGGAGGTATAGTGCAGTGAAGAAGCATTTTTTGAGCATGTGCTGTGTGTGGTGAGTAAAATACAAGTTAATGGTGGGGACCGAAAGTCTAGAAGCTAGTGATGGGGCAAAGAGGAGCTTTTGTGATATTTACAGGTGACAGAGGAGTGAAGCCAGCTAGCAGCCCACTACTGAAAGGTAAAGTCAAGAATATGGGCTTATTTTGTGTTGGCAAATACTCCTTGCTGAAATCATGTTTTAAAAATGTTATGTTTAAACTAGGTACTGATTTAGTTTTTAGTTTAAGACACATCAGGATTTGAAGGTCTTGGTTAGGCAGGCACCCCAGTGGACACAGTGGGAGATGAGCAAGCCCCCAGAGGCCTCTGTCTGCAGGGCCTGTGCAGCCTGCTCAGCTCTCCTGCAGCTGCGCTTCATGCTGCCAGACTGTGCGCCCCGCCCTCTCCCCGAGCAAGTTTCAGTGAACACTCTGAACCAAATTCACTGACATCTGTCAAATGCTTCTCTAGAATTCAAGAACATATCCCATCTGCTTGTGTTCCTTTGAAGCACCAATTTTCTTCTGTCGGAAAAAAAGAAAAGAAAAGAAAAAAGCAATCACATGTTGCCTGGCATGATTTGTACTCCATGATTCCCTGCCTCCAGTGCTGCTGTGACTGGCTTCTCGCCTTTTTATTCTCTGGGACATGTGCACAGACCCCTCCCACTGTGTAGTTCCGATTATCTTTGTTTTTTTTCATAACTAGGTTTTGCAAAACTTCTTTTTCACAAAGACCAGCTTTTACAACATTATTAGTCAAGCATGTGGGTCCTAATTTGACAGTGTAATTCCTTGGTAAATGCACAAAGTGGCAAAGGAGAGCTGAGCAGTTCCTTTGCTGTTCAGTCTTGAAAAGGCAATGCAGGCCAAGGCTCTGATCATGTTTCCCTACCTGGGGATCCAAACGAGAGTCAAGATTCACTTTTACCCTCTGTTGAGCTTCTCTCTGTCAGGTACTGGGCTGGCTGTCCTTACACTTAGTTGTGATTTCATTTAAATTTTGGAAACCAGTGCTACAATGGTTCAAACCGCGTTTTGGTATTTATTACAGCAAAAGGAGAATTCTGTTCTGAAAGGGAGTGGGTGGTAGATGGGAATTGCAAGCCTGTGGATGTGATGATGACATTTCTGATGGCCTCACTCTCTGGGGTGCTTTCTGTGAAGTGTGGGGTAAAGACAAGATGACAGCGGTGAGGACATGTGGCTACTCTTTCTCGAACTAAAACTCCAATCGCACAGTTGGACAAAATATTTTTGTACCCCTTCCAAATCTAAGCAGCAGTGTTTGAACTCTGAAATGCTGGGATGTCTAGGCCAGTGATGTCCAGTAGAAATAAATTTTAAAATTTTTTCTAGTAGCCACATTAAAAAAGTAAAAGGAGAGGAAATTAACTTTAATAATATATTTTAATTAACAAATGCTATCCTTATAACATATAATTCATATTATAGTGATATTTAAAATTCTTTCCTTCATGCCACATTTTTGAAATTTAGTCTGTATTTACACTAGCATCTCTCAATTTAGAATAGTCCAATTTCAAGTGCACAATAGCCATGTGTGGCTAATGGCTACTATATTGGACAATGCATTTCTAAACCAATTTGACAACTTATGGAGATAAAAAGAAAGGAGACAAAATAACCAGATTATTTGAAGTTTGGATTATTCTGAAAAATTCTGGCAGATTGGGGGATTAAAAAGAGTGGCGAACTCTTGTCCAAGAAACCTTTCAGTGAGTCCCATTGTTTTAGTACCTTCATGGATCTCACAGGTGACAGACAAAAACCTGAGGCTGAGGGAGTCCAAAGGTGCAGAGACAATGATGATTTTTAAAAAATATAAATTCCCTAATGGGTAGGAGGTGTACCATTGTAGAAACTTGGCTGGTGAAGTCTGATAAATCCAGTCTGTAAGGTGGAGAATGGCATGGGTTAGTGTGATGACTATGGCCTCTCCTTGGCCCCTGGGGCCCCTCAGCATTAGAAATAGATCTCATTGAATCAAGGGATTAGCTGTTCACTCATCCTGGAAGGCTCAGTGATAGCAGAGCCTTTGAGGCGTTCAGAGCTACACATGCCCCAGGAATTATTTCAGTCCCAAACTTCCTGTCACTGATACCTGGCCATCCTGACATTTCTGCCAATCCAAAAATAAAGAGCAGAGACGAGGAGGCCAGAGAAGTCAGAGGAAGTAGCGTACTGAATGACTATGTTTAAAATCTCCTGCCAATGGATGTTATCAGAGGGACTGAGAAGGCCAACTATCTCCACGCTTCGCCGACAGGAGCTGGCATGTACAAAGGTTATGGGAATGTGGTGACAATGAGGCCATAGTCACTCCTTGCTTAGGCCAGGAGCGTTTTCCTGGTTTATCCCTCCATCTATTAAATGGGTTGTATGGTAACAAGGGGACCAGTGAACTGTCAGGGCAAGTTCTTTACCACCTATGGGCTCCACAGCAGCGGTCATTGTCATCACCTTTGTAAGTGTAAGGCAGCAGACATTTGATATTAACAGATATTCCAAGTCCTTCAAAAGAGCCAAAGACTTTGCACGGCTCTCTTTGCCAAAGGAGTCTGACTCTAATCATCATAAGGAAGTAAAACTGTGGGTTGGTTTACATACCTACTTCTCGTCTTACAAAGTTTGGGAAGTCAAATAGGGAGCAAGAGCTTCTGCAAATGTCAGCCCCAGGTTCTGTTAGGGTTGTGTGTTGGCTACTTGTTTTCTCAAGAATTTGCCTTTCCAATTTTTAAAGAGCGAGCACACAAACCCTGCAAACATTTTATTGCAAGAAGGCTAAGGGCACACCAAGGAGATAAAAAAACAGCCCTGGTTCCTCACTGCTTTGCAATAAAATATTAAATATGCACAAGCTAAAGATGTGTGGAGGGATTATAAGAAAAGGTGCTGTGAAGTTCTTCATAATTTGAAGGATGAACAGATTGGATTATTGTAAGTCAGCCCAGGGCAAATAAATAGCTTGACCACAGAGTGTGATGGAGAATCTGTTTACATGAATTTCCTTGGGGGACAATTAGCTGGCCTTCTTCCCTCCCTTCCCAGTTTATTTGCAATAATGAATTAAAACCATGATCAGTGTTGGCTCTGGGGATTAGGCTTGGTTATCTAGTTGAGGGGAGGTTGTCTATTCTCTTATTGTGTCCATCCATTTGGTTAGCTAATACTAAGTGAGTGCCCCCTCACCCGCTTTTGCATATGGCACTGTGTAGAGACAGGCAGGGGTATTTTTGGCAACCAGAGTCTGGGTGTGTTAAGAGAGAAGATTTGGGGATGAAGGCAGGTCACTTGTCCTGCAGCTCAGCTCTCATTTCTGGCTGGTTGTTTATAGGTACTGGTTTCCTCTGCCTGTTTTTTCTCTCTTTTATTTCAGTTCTGGTTTCTGCTCCTTGAAGAACTACTTCCTTGGACTATTCTCTGCTCTAATGAATGGTCTTCACTCACTGGAGACTTCATAGGGACCATCTACATCAGAATTATCTCAGGGGCTTATTAAAAATTCAAATTTCCAGACTTTGTCCAGACCAACTGAATCATTGTAAGGAAGTAAAACTGTGGGTTGGAGTGGAATCAGGTTCTGTCAGGGAGTAGAATTTGCATTTCTGATAAGGGGCATAGGTGAGTCAGCACAGACTAAATTTTGAATCATCGCCATCCCCCCCACCCAAATGCTGCCGGTTTGGTGGCATGAAGACAGAGGGGTTTGTGCAGAGGCTGCAGGGCTCATGGTTCACAGCTCAGTGGGCTCTGGATCCAGGCAGTAGTGGCTCCTGGCTTCATCACTCTGTATCTTTCTAAGCTGTAGCTCCTTCTTACAAAGTACAAAAGAATAATGACAATACTTACCAACAGGGAAACTATGCCTGGTGTGCAGTAGTTACCTAATAAAATGTTAGCAAGTTATATTCTAGTTGTTATAGGCAAAAGACTTGAGTTTTTGTGAAAAGGTAATGATGGGAAGCCCCCCGAATGCTAGATATGCCAGTCATGCCTGATTTGTAAGAGGTGACGATTGCATGTTCCCATTGGGGGAAGTGGAGCCTAAGCAGGTGATCCGAAAAGGAGCGGGGCCTTTGAGCCAAGAAGAGGAGGGAGGAGTCTGCCTAGGTCACTGGAGAGGAGTGATGGAAAAGGCCTAGGGAATGATGTCTCCCCCACCTAAGACCAAGGGAGCTGGGGAGTTAAACAAGAACAGAGACCCCTGAATTTACTCCTGGTCCAACACCTCCATCCTTTCAGAACCCGATTGTGGTCCAGCAATGCCTCTCTTCTGTTTTAGTAGTAGAAAAAGAGTGCTGGATTAGGAGTCAAACCATGAAGGCAAATCCCTTAATTTGTCTCTGTTTCCTCACCTGTGAAATGGAGATAATACTGCCCTTCAGGGCAGTCATAAGAATCAAGAAAATATCTGTAATTATGGAAAATTATAAATTCTATACATCTAAGGTATCATTACTAGTAGTAATCATGTCTGCTTCCATTGTTCTCTTTCTACTCTTCTTATTAAAAAACAAAATCCTTTCCTTAAACCTGCTCTTGCACAATATCTTTATCATTTCCTCTTCTCTCTCTCTTTTTTTAACCACTAAAATATTGTCAAAAGAGGCACAGGTGAGGATGGTTGAGGAGTGCAGGTATCACACAGTTGGAATCTGGAGGGACTCAAATACATATGGAGCTAGACAGCTAAATTCCAAGACAGGGACACCGAGGAACGAGCCTGGCTTCAGAATGAGGCGCAGCATGTATGTGCTAGCTCTGCCCTTTCCTGGTCCAGTGTCCTGAGGCCTCACCTGTAAAATGGGGACAGTGGGGACAAGATACCTGCAGGATTGCTCTGAGGACTAGAATACATAAAGTCTGGCACGGTGGAGAGCACACAGTAGGAGCTCAGTAAATGCTACTGTCTTTCTTGCACCTGCCTCCCAAACCCCAGCTCTATTTTTGGCAGTGTTGGATCCCTTTTCTCTCCCCTCCTGTCCCCAACAGTTTGGGAAGCAGTGTCCACCCCATCCTCTTTGGATCAGAAGTTGAGTTCATCAACACAACGTAACTGTGCTGCATTAGATGTGCTGGAGGCTTCAGGGAGAAAGAGGAATGTGGCACTACGTGTGTGTGTGTGTGTGTGTGTGTGTGTGTGTGTGTGTGTGTGTGTGTGTGTTGGCAGAGGGAGACAGGCACACTCAACCAATCCCTTCAATCTAATGCAGCGAGTGCACTTATGGGATAAGTACAGAGGGCTGTGGGAGCACCAAAGAGGAGCACAGAGCTCAGCCGGAGGGGTCAGCCAGGGGAGAAGCCACAGAGATTTATGAGCACTTGGAATGCGGGGAATGGGGTTGAGATGAAGGGAGAAAACAGGAGAGAAGGAATTCTGAGAGCTAAGCCAGTCAAGCTGCTTGGACCCATGCAGCCCTCCCTGGGGGACAGAGTTACATCTCTGGAAGCTTGCGTGAGAGTCTCCTGACCTCGCCCCTTGGTTATTTCTTGGTGTTACTTTTCTTTTAACTGCTTCAAATTATCCAAAGGGTAAATATGTCTTTCGAAAAATGTCCTGTCTTTTCTTCGGTTAGTTAAAATTATAGGAGAAGGAATTTCCTATATAACCAAGGATGGGGGCTTGGTACAGTTAAGGTGTCCAGATGCGAGGATGCTTGGACATAAGTCAAGGCTGGAGGCAGCCAGGAGAGGTAAAGAGTAGGGGAGACCAGGCCGGGAGGACAATGGTGGACCAGAACCTTTCCTGCCTGCCCAAGCATTTCTCTTCCATGCAGAAAGGCAATCCATGGCCAACTCACCACACCAATGGAGAAGTAGTTGTTCATGATGTCATACGGGACCTGGTCCCCGTTCTCCATCTCCTCTCTGGGGATGACTTCCAGGTGCCAGCGATCCAGCATCACCAAGGGGCTCTGCTCAATTTCCTTCAGGATTTTTGTCAGGCTTCCCCCTTCATAGCCTGTGGAGCATAACATTGCATTTGTCCCAAAGCAGAAAGCTAAGTTGTCGCTGATGTACAGGCAGCTCAGAGCAGGGAATGCTGTGGGCATCTGTGACCTGGAATCCCCCAATGTGCCTGTGGGCCAGAGACACTTAGGTTCCCTGAGCCACAGAGAAGGAGAGGACAACATGGAGCAATTAGAAAGAAGCTGGGGAGATCTAAAAGCCAGAGCAGCAGGGGAGGGGGGAGGGGCTGGCCAAAAGTGGGCAGGCTGTGTTGCTGAAGCAAGCCCTGGAGACTTGGGCTGGGTGGTTGGGAAGCTGCATATGGGAGAAGGAAGGACCCATTTCCAGACCATGTCATGTCAGAGAGGGACAGTGTGGTAGACAGGATTTTAAGATGACCCCCCTTCCCCCGCCGATTCCTGCCTGCCCTGGGTCCCATGAATAAGAGGCAATTAGGTACATAACGTGAAACAGTTGACTTTGAGAAAGGGAGAGTATCCTGGGTGGAGCTGACCTAATTGGAGGAGTCCTCAGAAAAGACTGGGCTTTTCTTAAGAAATAGATTTGAAGCTTGAGAGGGATTCGACATGAGGAAGATTCTCTGTTGCCAGCTTTGAAGATGGAGGGACCCCATCTGGCAAGTCATGAGGGAGGCCTCTCACCTCTGAGAGTGGTCCCTGCAGACAACCAGGAAGGAAACAGGTCCCCAATCCTACTGAATTCAGCTAATCACCTGAGTGAGCTTAGGAGCAAATTCTTCCCCCAGAAGCTTTAATGAGACCAGGTTTCAGCCTGTGAGGGCCTGTGCTAGGGCTTCTGACTGTGAACTAAAAATGGGTGTTTTAAGCCTCTATATTATGATAATTTGTTATGTAGCAATAGAAAACTAACATATAATGTGAATTGTAAGTAGTGAGAGGTTAGTGGGACAGACAGTCTTTTCTTTCAAATAACACTTCTATGTTCCTGCTTACTTTCGGGGCAACCTTGAGGAGTATTTTCAAGTTGTCAGGGCTTTGGTCAGCAACTTAGGGGATGCCCGATAAGATAGCAGTGGTAGCAGCTACATAGCGGAGGGCCTTAAAACTATCTGGGAGTGCAGGCTGGGTTTTCTGCATGAAATTGGTGCCTGTCTCTGCTGCCTAATGCTCACAGTGCGGGGCCACACTCTGCCTGTCTCTCTGAACAGAGGGCTCTTTTCTAGCTTCAGTGTGTGGCTGAGGACCCTGGTAGCTCTTCCTGTGCTTGCCAACTTCCTTCTAGGCTGGATCTCACTTGCTCTGCCCCCAAACATGCACCAGCCTCTGAACACTGACCGCTGCCTGGCCTAGTTTTGAATTGCTCTCTGAATTGATCAGCCAGCCTCAGTCTCACTCTGATCCTACCTGTCAGACTGGTTTGTGGGCTCCTTGGGCTGATCTGAATTTCTGCACTTTCTGGAGCATGCCCAGCTCCATGGGGGTTGTTGTAGTTTGCAAAGATCTCAACTTAGCTCCTGCCTATTGCCTTGTAAGCTGGTTACCACTTTGAATTCCCCCTTCTGAACTTTTCAAAATAAGGGTCCATGGCTGGGGCGGAGGGGGGGGGGCGGGCTAAGTTGATCTGGATGCCGTCAATAGCCGGTGATGTGGCCTTTCAGTCTGCATTCTGAGTCCTAATTCAGAAGAAGATCAGTAATTTGGGAAGGGGGAATTTTATGCAGAAAACACCTGTCTAAATGAGCCCCTACTGTGATGAGTGCTGGGAAGGAGACTCTACCTTAAAGTTGACTTGTTCTACTGGGGAAGGCAGGCAATAAGCAGATAGTTTCAGGATGACAGGAGATGTAGTGAGGGGTAAGCATAAGCCTGGAATGCAGGGCAGTGAAACAGCCATGAAGTCTATCTGACCCCAGAGTTGAGCATTATTCTGTGGAATGTGATCCCTAAAAAGGTGGTTCAGCCTAGCTCTGTGGAGCATCCCTGTCGAATGGAAAGCTTGTCCCCAGGGGAGTGCCACTCCCAGGTAGACTCACCTCCTCCCCAGCGGAGACATCGGGCCAGGTCATTTCCTGTTCCAAGAGGCAGGACGGCCACTGGTGGATGCTTTGCGAAGTTGGCCTTATCTGCAACCCATGAAGAGGATGAGAGAACCATATGCCATGGGATTACAGAATGTCCGAGTTATCTAGTTATCCCTGACCTGATGCTTGAACCCCTTCATAGCGTTCTTTGTTAGAATACCTCCCATAATGGGGAACACACTGCTTGCTGAAGTAATCTCCTCCATCTGCAGTGTGTAGACCATTTCCAAGGGTTTTCTCATAGTGAACGTAATCTGTCTCCTTGTAACTTGCATCTCTTCATCCTAATTTCACCCCAATCCTTTCCCTTGGGGTGACAGCAACCTCAAAAATCATTACTGTCGTTTGTGCAGCTTTAATCCTTAGTGATAGCCAGCACTTGTTACATTTACCCCTCAGACCAACCCTGCAGGGTCTTATGATTTTCATCATAAATGAAGAAACGGAGGAAGAGAGAGGGAAAGTAATTCCAGAGCCAGGATCCAAACCCAGAGCTCTAGAGCTCCAAACATGCTCCTCCTTTCTTCAAGGACTAGGCAGGTGCATAGACAGTAGCACAGGTGGGTTTGAGACATCAGGGAATAGTGAGGCATTTGGAAAACTGAAGATGTCACACCTAAAGTCATTCATGTTCAAAAGTTTAAACATAGCAGTGTGTCTAACAGAAAACCTCCATGTGTCATTTGGCACCCAGGTAGCAGTTTGCCACTTTCACCTCCTCCCAGACTTGCAAATACACAGATTCCTAAATTTATTTTCCATGCTGGTGTGAAGCAGCATCAGACCGAACCATTAGAGAAAGCACAGGAGACCATGTATGTTTTAATCTGGCTGAAGATCTAGAGAAGTTTATGTTAGCTGATTAAGAAAGTTGAAAGAGGCGCAGACACCCATTGGGCTCAAGAAGGTGCCTATTTACATAAACCTCAGTTCACCTAGTGCCAGGGACAATGAATGATATTATGGGGGAGGGCTGGTAGGGGGTTGGGGTGCTACAGGAATCAGCATCCTACATGAGGATCATGCTAGGGTTGCCCCAGCAAAACAGGAGTTCATAGGTCCCCTGGCTTGTCTGACTTGTGCCAGAAGTGGCTGAGCTCTGGCAAAACCCAGGGCTGAGATTATAAGTGGGAGGGTTAAGGTGGAGGATAGAGTAAAGCAATGGACTTTCTCATTGTTCCCAGAACCCATAGTCAGTGTTTATGCCTCCCTACCTTTGCACACTCTGTTCCCTTTGCCTGGAAGACCCTTGTTTCCTTAGATCTGCTCTTTCTTCTGTAGTCAACCATCTTCACAGTGTGGAGGCTAGAAAGCTGGATGCCATTCTAGGTTTCCCCTCTCCCTCACCCCACATTATTCACTCATCAAGTTCTGTGAGCTTTCTCCCTTAATAGATCTCCAAGAAACCTTTTCTCTCTATCCCCATAGTGATGCCTGAGTTCAGGAATGATATGATTCCTTCCCACTGGTATGGTTGCAACTGTCTCCTCTTGGCCCTCTCAGCCTCCAGTCCCACCCCCTCATGTGTTCTCTAGACGTTCGCCAAAGTGGGAAATCCTTGAACCACAAGCCTGATCACATTAGCCCATTGCTTTCACACTGCTGGGGCTCCCCTCACCCCTTAGCATGGCACACTAGGCCCTTCCAGGCTCTGCCTTCCTCTCTAGCCTCATCTCTTACCGCTCCAACCTCCCATCCAACATGTCAACCACATCTTCACGTTTTCAGTGCCTTAAATCACAAGCTCTGTGTGGCTCATCTCAGATGCTGCCTCTGGGAGTTCCTCCCTGGTGGCCCTAGTCTGGACCAGGTGCCTCTCTAGAATGTTTCTTTAGCATTAGGGATAATCTCATCACAATGTCTTGTAATTGACTATGCATTTGTTCCCTGAATGTACTGTAACCTCCTGGGATCTATATCCCATTCATCACAGTATCTCCATACATACTTGCTGAAGGCCTACTATGTACTATGGCTCTAAAAGCAGGTAAAAAAAAAAGCTATGACTTAGGCTCTGGTGGTAGTTGAAGGGGAGAGACAGATATTAATGAGGTCTTCCCATAAATTTCAAATTTATGCTGAAGATGAAAGGAGTGTGGTCCTATAATAAGGTGACAGAGGCTGGGGATATGTCAGGAAAGGCTCTCCTGAGGAAGCCACACTTTGGCTGAGATCTGAAGTAGAAACTGACCAGCAAAGACCAGGGGAGCATAGCAGACAGGAGGAACAACTCGGGCAAAAGCCCTGTGGTGGAAGGGGTGGGTCTACCAGTATCCAAGGGTCTGGGAAAGGAACTGTGTGGCTTGAGTCTAGAGGGAGAAGGATGGAGGTATAAGGCTGGAAGAGTGGGCAGCTGCTAGACCAGGCAGATTCCTATAGATCATTTGAAGAGTTTTTGTATTTGTTTTAAGAATAATGAGAAGCCATTTATGTGCTTCACATGCATCATGAACCCATTGACATTTAGGTAAGACCATTCTGGCTATAGAGGGAGAACAGATCAGGGAGGGGACCAACTGGGGGTGGTAGAGAGCACTGAATAATTGCTCCAATATTTCTTGAATAAATGAATGAACACTGTGCCATTATTCCTCTTACCACTGATTTTTTTTCTCCTTGACCCACTAACCTGTAAAAAGCAGATAATCTCACATGACCTTCTTTCTTTCTATTTTGAGCAGCTTCTATCACCTGTGTCCTCTGCAGATGAATTTTATAAAACTTTTCACCAAAGACTACTTTCTCCTTCATGATGTAGAGGGAACCATGCAAGCAGCTCTCAGTACTGCAACCATCCATCCTCTGCTGATCAGCTTTTCCTTCCTGACTCCCAGGGGACACCTCCCTCCTCCCACAAACAACTCAAGCTGGAGGTGACAGGAGAGTGTGGGTGGCTGCTTGGCAGGGCTGTTTCTATGGAAACCAAAGTGCCTGTGAGGGAGCCAAAAGCAGCAAGAGTGCAGGTGCTGGTCCCACCCCTCCAGGGGGTCAGCTTATGACCCCTGGAGGCCAGCCTGCCCTGCCCTGCCCTGTTCATGGTCCATCATGACCCATCCTTGGTTCTGTTCTTGTCCTCATTTCCCACATCAGTCTGTCAGCAAATCCTATTGACTCTACCTTCAGAAGATATCCAAAATCTGACACAAAAATATTGGTAATTTCATTTTATTTTTGTTTTTCCATTTAGAAGCTTAAATGTAATGGGCATTATAGCGGAACTTTTCAAAATAAGGTATCCAGTTAGATGTGGCAGTGTAACAACTTAGTGTACCAAGAAAATTTTTCAGCTGCAATCTCCCTATTGTCTGTTTCTGCTGTGGTCCAAACCATGGTCACCTCTCACTTGGGTGACTGCAGGAGCCTCCAAACTGCTCTTCCCTCAGGTATCCGCATGGCTCACCCCTGTCCAAGTCCCCATGAAAACATCATCTGCTCTGAGAGGTCTTCCCTGACCACTAGGATTTCAGTTGCAGCCCTCACTCCACAGCTGTGTTCCCTTTGCCCCCTCTTTGCTATATATTTTTTTTTATCACCTTCTGATATATTATTTGTTTCACTTACTTCTTTGTTTATTGCTTGTGTCTTCCCTCTAGAAGGAAAACTCCTTGAGGGTGGGATTTTTGTCCATTTATTCATTGTCTCAAGGAGAACTTGGCACAGGAGGTACACAGACAATATTTGTGGAATGAATGACAGGAAAAAAGAAGCAGCCCAGGGCTTGTCGCTCTGGGCCCAGCCTTGGACTTGAATGATGGCTCTCCCAAGCTCTTCCCTTTCCTGCCCTTATGTTCCACATCCCAGTGTTTATCTAGGTTCTCCAGGGTTAGATCTTGAATATGCTCTTGTCCCAGGATTTCAGAGTCAGTCTCCATTATTTACTGAGGGTCATGTGTCCAAGGACCCATAGATCAGGTAGAGCTGGATTAGGAACCCTAATTTTCAGCCTGGGCTCTCACCACTGCCCCTCTGATTTACGTGTGTTGGACACAGCCCAATGTGGCCTTTCTTTGCTTGCACTTGTCTGCACTTTATATATGTGCTTTCTGGGCTTGGACTCTTGGTACTCACCTCAAGGTGATTTTCCCTGGAACATGCATCTATACTTCGTTCTTTGGCCTTTATCCACCACCTTGGCTCTGCCTGGAGTCTCAACCCTACACACACCCCGCCCCCCCTCGACCACCCAATCTGGCCTGTCCTGCCATTGACCAAACCCTGGACATGACAGATGTTTTTGAGGCAAGGCCTGAAATAAACTATTCCATCTGTACCTGTGGAAATCCTTCCATGGTCTTGTTTCTTTGTTTTTCCACCCAAAGTAGATATTTAGTCAAGCATGATCCAAGAGTGGAAACAAGGATGAGCAAGACATGGCTACATTCCTCTTTCTTTTTTTATTGCCTTCTTCAGACTTTAAATATACTTACTATAAGTAAACTGCAAAGGTCCTCCCAGCCCATTCTTACCAATGCAATCCAAAATCCAGCCAACTGTCCCATCTCCTCCGCAGGCCAACACACGGAAGTCTGGAGTATCCCGGAAAAAGTTCAGTCTGGGAAGTAGAAGAAAGGCCCAAATGGTCTTGTTTGCTAGGACCTTTGACACTGCTTGAGACAGAGTCCCTCCACCCCCCACTCCTTTCCCTGGGAGTATGTTATAACCTTGATTCCTTTTGGGGTTGAGAGGGTCACTTAATATTCTGAAATCAGAACTTACTAAGCAATACCATTGAATATGAATCTAGGAGCCATCCTTGTATAAGGAGAGTCTGACTCAACATTCAACACAGAACATGTTTTTTTTTCTATTCTCTATTACGTGTGCAGAGGAATCCATATTTTGCTTTCTTTTTTTTTGGCAACAGTACAACTAACCTCCAACACTTTGACTCCCCTTTGGCTCTCCTGCCTGCTCTTTCCCCACAACCGCCCCTTCAAATCAGATGCACTCAACTAGCTACATCTTTATCCAACTCTCCTGTGGGTCCAGACCTAAGTGCAGTGAGCACTTAGGGGGCCTTGACCCTTTAGAGTAGGGCTGTTAACCTGAAGTCCATGAACTTCCAAGGGGTCTGTGGATAGAATCCAGAGGACTATGAACTTGGAGATAAAATATTACATTCTTATCTTTCCTAAGCTCTAACTGAAATTTAGCATTTTCTTCTCTTGTGAATGTAGGCGACAAATCACAGACATATTACCAATACCCATGCCTTTGTCAGGCGTCAAAATCACAAGTATTTTAATGTTTTGCTACAGCTATGGCAGATATCTCATACTACCATTCATGTACATCACTGCTTCGAATTTACAATAGTTATTAGACCTGCCTCTGGAATTTGCTACATAATGTGTTAGTAAATCACATATATTCCCATATCGCGCATTTGTTTTCTTAACATTTTGATAACTATTTTCAATAGAATTAGTTTCCCTGATTATATGTTAAAAAATATTAGTCTGAGAAAGGGTCCACAGGCTTCGTCAGACTGCCAAACAGGTTCCTGGCACAGAAAGGTTAAGAACCTCTGTTTCAGAGCAAACGTGACCTGTGGACATCTTGGGGTGGGACTTGGGAAGCGGAAGCTCAATGTTTCCTCCTTGCCCAACCTGGTGGTCTGAGAAGATCCCTGGGTTTACTGAATCACTGCTGCAGGTGTGGGCAAACTCACATTTTATTTTCTATTATTTGTGCAGAGGAATCCATATTTTGCTTATTTTGGCAACAGTACAACTAACTCTCTCTTCCCCTTCCTTCCCTGCTCTTCTCTGGAAAGTGAACTCTGAATGGAGGCTCCATCACCTACACAGCCTGTCTGAGTACAGACTGACACTTCTGAGATACTCAGCACAGCAGCCCTAGAAGGTGTCACTTGGCTCATCATCCAGGGCAAAAACAATTTAGGGCAGATGAGGTTAAGCAGGAGCACTGCATTCAAGTATTAAAATGTCCCCAAAGAGAATGGGCTAGTAAAGGTGTCCATATGCTACTGCTCAGTCACAAGTCATCATGGAGCAGTCATTGGCAGTCATGGTGACCATGATGGCACCTGCAACAGCATAGGTGGGCTCTGTTTTTCTTTTGTTGTTGTTAATTTTCTTTTATTGATTTCAGAGAAGAAGGGAAAGGGAGAGAGAGATCAAAACATCAATGATGAGAGAGAATCATTGATCGGCTGCATCCTGCACGCCTCCACTGGGGATTGAGCCCACAACCCAGGCATGTGCCCTGACCGGGAATCCAACTGTGACCACTGAGTCACAATTAGTTTTAAATCGTGGCAGAGGTGCTGAATCCACACTCAGGTTTCTTTTTCCCTTTTACTGGGTCTTGCACTACCACTGCCATAAATTATAGAGTTGTGTCAAAAAAACAAAGACAGAGACAGATTCCCTTTTTAGAGTCCTTACAGCAGCCCTTCTGAGGGGCTTGCTGGACCCAGTATAGAAGGCGGGTTAGGAGGCTGGGCAAAGCGTGCTGAAAAGCCCAGTCCAGCGGGCACAGATCTGAGGACCTGGAGCCTAGAGAGCCTCTGGCCAGCACTTGTTTCTGGTGCACAGTCTCTGTGTGGTAAGAACAGCCTTTGAGAGCCTTCTGCCTGATGCTGGAGGGGTCTCTGATTACAGGGCCCTGCAGCTCATCATGTTAGTGCTAACACAAGGCCCTGCTCCTCCCTCCAGACCTTTCATCAAGGTGCAGAAGGGCTGCCTCCTCTTGTCACTCTCCCTCTCTAATGAGCAGTGAAAGAGCCAGTAGACAAATCATAGGAGAAGGGTCATAGAGTACTTAACAATCTCTAAAATGGATAATCCAGAAAAAAGGTGATTTCATTGAATAACCAATTGTTTTGATCCTAAAATGACCCACAACAGAACATGCAGCAGAACTACTGAATGACAGTGAAAAGGAAACTCTTTCCTCCTCCCTGATGACTCAATATGAAGACACCAACTAACACAGCCTTGCAAATAACTTAAAATAACGTACCAGCCCGCCCTTCCTGTCAATCAAATGAATAGCACATGCAGGAGGCTACCTCCCAGAGTAAAACATAACAAGAGTTCCTGAGTACCTCCAGGAGGAAGGGAAGATGTAAGGAAAGGACGAGAAAATGAGTAAAGGGGCAAGAAGAACAAGTACACAAATAAAAGAGGTGGGGGGGGGAGGTGACATAAAGGTATACTCTTCAGAGACTTAAGGGGAAAGGGGAGAAATTAGGAGTAAGAATTGTATCTCCATACCCTGGAGTAGGCCCCCCATTGTCCAGGTTGAAAACTTGTTTGGGGTTGAGCAGATAGTGGAATTTCCGAAGAATTCTATGGGGAAAAAAAAGAAAGAGAGAGAGAGAGGCAGAGAAGGAGATATCATTATGAGAAGCCACAGTAGGGCAAACACCTCTGGAGCACATTGATGGTGGGAATGAGAGTCTGCTTAAACCCTGCTGCAGAAAAGACTGAATGCAGGCCCTGCAGACCCTGAAGTCCCAGCTTTAGCTGGCATCTCTCATGCCCTAACCCCCTGGTTCAAGGCCTCTCCACTCTCCAAGACTCTACCCTCCAATGCCAGAAGTATCACTCCTTGCAGAGAAGGCAGGGCAGAAGAACTCAGAGAACAGAACTTCTATTCTCCTAATGCTTTTTCTTCTTGGAGACCTTCTCTCAAATGTTCTGTATGTTCTAGGTTGTACAGTTCTGCTCCTTGTGGACTATACAAAGGCATCAATGGAAAGGCCACCCAAATACTGGAATCAGGAGGAAACACAGGAGGTGGGGCTGAGGCAGGGGAGAGCTGGGGGCAATGACTACACCTAAGATTGGCTTCAAGGCTCAGCTTGAGGCTAACCAGGTCAGTTCAGAAGCGATGCTCTGCCCCTTGGACTGGGGTAGGGGTCTCATAGTTGTTTCTGTAACCTTACTTATCATTTTTAACCTGGATTCCAAATCCCCATGCCATCTGTACATTATCCCAGAGCTGACAGGACTGGGGGCAGGGCTGTTTTGCCCTTTCTCCCTCTCTCCTCCCACTCTGTTAGTGCTTCCAGCAGACTGGGCATTTCCTTCACGGATGAGCTGAGTGCCCTGCTTTCTCAGGGGCTCGATAGGCCAGGAGGTCCCAATCGGTGAGTCCTGCCACATCTCTTAATCAAGAAAAGACTTGAGAGACTAGGAAGTTAACAGGCATCTCAGAACTTGGTCTGACTCTGGGAACCATAATAATGGCTCATGTGACAGGCCCTAGGCTAAGCACTGTGTGTGTTTTAATCCTCACAACCACCCTATGAGAGGAGAAATTCTTATTTATTTACAGAGAAGGGACCCAGGGACATTAAGTCAGTTGAACCAGGTCATCAAGTGGTTAAGTAGGAGGGCTGGGATTTGAACCCAGGTCTTCCTGTCTCTGTTCAGTCCACTCTATCATGGCTGAGGGGAAGAAAGGACCCAAGTGAGGCTTTCTGGCCTTTCCATTTTGAAAAAGAAGAGAACATACCTTTCTCCTTGTCTCCCTCCACTCTTGGGGTTCACCAAGACCAACAGGGGGTGGGTACCCGGGGTGGGGATGATCTTGTACTTAAAAAGTAAAAGAAAAAGAAATTAGCTCTGTTTCAGCCAACCGGGGGAATGAGATGAGAGTTTATACTAAGACAGCATCTGGGAGAGGTGGGTAGGAAGCAGTTACAGTCATGGAGGAGAGGAGGATGGGAGGAAGGTCTTTGTCCACTGGCTGAGTTTTTGAGGGGTTAAGCAGCTAAGTGTCTTCAGCTTGAGTGGGCTTTGAGTGGTGTGAATGGTGACAGGGTTTGAAGAGATGGGACAATGGCATCATAACTTCAAATCACTCAACAATGGTAAGACATTGTGCCCACAGCACAAAATTAGATTTTGTGAGGGATACAACTGAAAATGACCTTCAACGGTATGGCCATCTGGTCAAATTCCTAAGTAAAATAACACTCATGAAGTTAAACACGAATTCCCCCAGCACCAATTTTCCTCCTGAGACCTGATTCCTCATTTCTCATTGTCCAGTGGGTACCTTCAACCAGATGTCTCACCATCAGGTTGCTCCAAACGTCAACATATCCCAAACCTGACCTATCTTCTTTCCCCATCAAACTGGTTGTCACTCTTGGCTCCCTGCTTCAATTTAAATATGCCATCATTATTTATCCAGTCAACCAGGGAAACCCTGTTCTGCCAAATTTTTCCCCTGGAACGTCCCTTTCTCTCTGCAGCTGCCATAGCAACCATACTGCCCACGCATTTCCCAGTTCAGGTTAAGTCCTATCGACTGCCCCCAGGATATCATATGAGTCATGCCACTCTTGCTTAAAAACCTTTAATAACACTTCATTGACCCAATGATGAAATCCAAAACTCCTAACCTGGCATCCAAAGCATTTCAGTGTAGCCCCATTCAACTGTTATCTCTTAATCACTCTAACCCTCACTGCAGTTCTGGCCAAACACGGCTTTTACCCTCGAGAGTGTGTCTCCTGCATTCCCACCCTGTGGGTCTGCTCACCCTGGTTTCTTCTCCTGCTCAGTGCCCTGAAATGCCCACTTCTTTCTTTGCAACCTCAGGGCCCAGTGCAAGAGCAACTTCCTCTATGAAGTTTTCCTTAGTTACTGCAACTAAAGCTATTGCAATTGAAACATCAAATACCTTCTAGGTTTCTTTTGTTTTTGTTGATTTGTTTTCCATCCTTAGTTACTGCAACTAAAGCTATTGCAATTGAAATATCAAATACCTTCTGGGTTTCTTTTGTTTTTGTTGATTTGTTTTCCATTTTCTTAGGTAAATGTCTCAAAAACAGCCACTGCATCTTAAATGCCTCCAAAGCAAACTATGGCCCGCGGGCCAGATCCGGCCCGTTTGAAATGAATAAAACTAAAAAAAAAAGACCGTACCCTTTTATGTAATGATGTTTACTTTGAATTTATATTAGTTCACACAAACACTCCATCCATGCTTTTGTTCCAGCCCTCCGGTCCAGTTTAAGAACCCATTGTGGCCCTCAAGTCAAAAAGTTTGCCCACCCCTGATTTAGTTAAAGGACACACTGATACGGAGACACAACTCGGCTCCATATTCACTAATGCTCACTTTCCCAGATCCCAGGCTGAAAATGCAACAAACCCAGAGCCATGCTGTTTGAAACAGACAGCACCAATTATTATGATTTTTAGGAATATTCTCATCTGCCTTAGGGTGAATGTCTGTGTGAAGCATCTTGGAGCCTGAAGAGTAATTTTTACTTCTGGGAGTGGTATTCAAAATATTCAACATCCTGTACAGCATGGGCATTGCCCAATCAGTACAGATGCAGGCTAACCAAATGGATGCCAGTTGTAAACAACTGGTAGGCCTGCATTGTGTGTCTGTCTGTCTGTTCCACTTGACTTTCTGTCCTTATAGGTACCTGGAGCTTTCTCACATCATTAAGATCCCCCATCATTATTGCTTATGCTTTAATTTTCTAAAAACACTAATCTGCATGTTATCATTGAATCTCAGGGAACCTCTGGGGGTAGGCAATGCAGGGATTGCTGTGCCCCTTTTCAAACAAGGAAATTTAAGGTTCAGAGGAAGAGGAGGAGGCCCTCGTTTCCTATTTCTTTCCTAGTTAGTACTCTTTGTACCTCCCTGCAATCCCTGGACCTCTGTGGAAGGCAAAGATAAGGTGTTTGAACCCATTGTGGCCCTCAAGTCAAAAAGTTTGCCCACCCCTGATTTAGTTAAAGGACACACTGATACGGAGACACAACTCGGCTCCATATTCACTAATGCTCACTTTCCCAGATCCCAGGCTGAAAATGCAACAAACCCAGAGCCATGCTGTTTGAAACAGACAGCACCAATTATTATGATTTTTAGGAATATTCTCATCTGCCTTAGGGTGAATGTCTGTGTGAAGCATCTTGGAGCCTGAAGAGTAATTTTTACTTCTGGGAGTGGTATTCAAAATATTCAACATCCTGTACAGCATGGGCATTGCCCAATCAGTACAGATGCAGGCTAACCAAATGGATGCCAGTTGTAAACAACTGGTAGGCCTGCATTGTGTGTCTGTCTGTCTGTTCCACTTGACTTTCTGTCCTTATAGGTACCTGGAGCTTTCTCACATCATTAAGATCCCCCATCATTATTGCTTATGCTTTAATTTTCTAAAAACACTAATCTGCATGTTATCATTGAATCTCAGGGAACCTCTGGGGGTAGGCAATGCAGGGATTGCTGTGCCCCTTTTCAAACAAGGAAATTTAAGAGGAAGAGGAGGAGGCCCTCGTTTCCTATTTCTTTCTTAGTTAGTACTCTTTGTAGTTCCCCTGCAATCCCTGGACCTCTGTGGAAGGCACAAAGATAAGGTGTTTATTGGTGAACCTAAGTGAAAATGAGTTCTTAAATATGTGTTTCAGGATAAAGAAGAATTTTTGGATACATTAGCTTCATGTTGGCCTATTGCTTTCTGGAGACAGCGTGGCAATCTTGGAAAATCTATTGTATATTTTTAGGTGACACTCTTGTTATTTTTTGTAGGGGATGAGCATATTGGAGTTTCTAAAGCAACTTGTTCTTAAAAAGGCGATAAAGCCAATTTGGCCAGCCATGGGCTCAACCAACCCCCCTCGCATCACTTGCCTACAGTGTGGTGGTCAAAGGTAATTCCAGAGGCCGGAAATAAAGTGTCTTGTGTGATATAATTGATATAATTGATCAGATGAGAAAGTAAATGTAAAGAAATGGAAAGAAAGGAGCACCTAAACCCTGTCGTCCTTTCCACAGCCCTGGACCAACTTAGGATGAATGATCAGATTCGGGATTCTGAGGTACCTGCATTACAAGTTCACCCTTGGCTGACGTGTCACCATCAGACTTCCCACCTTGCCTGTCCTGTGAGAAGAGAGGAAAGATAAGCATCTTTTGAAAAAAAGTCTAATATAAGAAAAAGGATTCAGAAGAAAAACAAATGGTTAACAAAGAGAATTAGAAAACCAGTACAGAATGGGGAGGAGTGTTTCAAAGTGGGGCTTTGGACCTAAAAAAAGAAATGCTCCCCTATGGGTTTCTCGAGGACTCTCGAGGTCTCTGTGATCATTTGCTCTGACATTAACACTGAGACTCTGGAATGGAATGGACATGGGGAGAGGGAACACTAAAATTGACAGAAATCTACTTTGTTGATTTAGAAGCTTGAGCTCTGAGAAGCAAGGTCTTAGATCTGGCTTCTCAGCTTAGCACTATCTAAATGATATCATATTGAGAACATTATTTTTTTAGTTGTGTTTTTTTCTTTGTTTTTAAAAATTATGATTATTATTTTTGTGGAGGTTTATTTCTCACATAGTAAAATGTTCAAATCTAAATCTCCAGCCAGATGAATTTCCGCCCTTGCTGCCTTTTCAGGTGTTATGCTGCTGTGAATCTCTACATCTTATTGGTTTTGCCTGGCTTTTGAATTTCATAGAAATGGAATCACAGAACATGAATTTTTATTGATTTCAGAAAGGAAGGGAGTGGGAGAGAGAGATAGAAACATCAATGATGAGAGAGAATCACTGATTGGCTGCCTCCTGCACGCCCTCAACTGGGGATTGAGCCCACAACATGGGCATTTGCCCTGACCGAGAATTGAACCATGCCCTCCTGGTTCATACGTCAATGCTCAACCACTGAGCCACGCCAGCCGGGCAGAACATGTCTTTTTTGAGTCTAGCTTCTTTTTATCAACAGTATATCTTTGTGATCAACCCCTTTTTGCAATTAAACATAGCTTTTTTTCCATGTAGTATTCCATGATACAAATATGCCTCAATTTATTTATCTATCTACTAGAGGCCCGGTGCACGAATTCGTGCATGGGTGGGGTTCCTCAGTCTGGCCAGTGATTGGGGCCAATTTGGGCTGTCTCGCCCAGTCCCCATCAGGGCCAGCAGCCAACCTCCTGGCTGGCCAGCCCAAATCGCCCCTGGCTGGGGGGAGGGGCCATGGAGGTTGGCCCGGCCAGGGGTGATTGGGGCTGACTGGTGGGTGGGGAGGGGCTGCAGGAGGTTGGCTGTGGGAGCACACTGACCATCAGGGGGCAGCTCCTGCATTTAGCATCTGCCCCCTGGTGGTCAGTGCATGTCATAGCGACTGGTCAACCGGTGGTTCTGGTCACTCTGGCCATTCAGTCGTAATGGTCACTTAGGCTTTTATAGATATCGATTCTGTCATTAAGTTTGTTTCCAGTTTTTCACTGTTATCAATAAAGTTACTACAAACATTCTTGTGCATGTATTTTGGTGGAAAAAAATGCTCATATTTCTCAGATAAATATATAGGACAGGACTTATCAGGTCATAGAGTTTTGTATTTCCAACTTGATAGATGCAGCCAAATGGTTTTTCTTCAGTTTTTTAAAGAGAAAGACTAACTGGTCAAGGATGAGATGTGAGGAATTAGCAGGACTTGGCAACATCTTTAAGAAGGAAGGGAACAGTTAAGGTGTTTGGTGCTTAGTTTGAAAGAGGAATCTTCAACACAGGAGACAGAGACAATTGCAGATGGGGATAAAAGGAGTTTAATTTTGCTGCATCCATTTCCAAATAGGGCTGAGACACTCAAGTGCAAATTGTCAGGGCAGATGTTGGGATGTAGGAGCCAGGTTGACAGGAACAAGGGTGGCCTGGGAGGCCTGGCCTGTGCAGGTGGTGACTACCTTGAGCTGTGCTCTGCCTGCCAGGTGCTCTCCAGGATGGGCTACTTCAGAGCATTCTGGGAGCCAGCAGTGGGGACCACGTTAGTCAGGGGAGTTTTCCCTCACAAATTGGTGGACACAGCATGGACCTCATTTAAACTTGTACTGAAAACACAAGCCCAAGAGTTCTTGAGGAAGCCCTCTGAGGGGGGGGTGAAGGTCTGAATGCTGCATATGTGAAGTGTGCAGGGTGGGGGGGAATCAGAGCCCTGATAGGCAGCAGCACTTACCTGGGTAATTGGGCAGATCGAGGTGGGCAGTAGGATGTGGTCTTTGAGTTCCCCACCATCACACACTGTGGATAATTCACATTTGCGGTGAAACTGGAGGAAACAATGAAGATGAGAGTGAGTGAAGCAGACCAAGGAAATTTTAAATATGGGGTTTAGAGGTTTACTGGGGAGGCAAGCTACCTAGTGCTCTCCAAATCCTGTTGCACTGCTGGCTTTGGCAGTATAACTACAGTGGGGCCTTAACTTATGAGTGTCCCAACTAACGAGTTTTTCGAGATATGAGCCGTCTCTCGGCTGATTTTTTGCTTTGAGTTGTGAGCTAAAATTCGGGTTACGAGCCAGCTTCAGATACCCCACCGCTAGTTGGCGCAGCGAATGTCACAGTGAACGCCACAACATCAGCCCAGCATCATGTGTCTCACTCGTTCACTTCTTGATTTGACATACGAGTAATTTGAGTTACGAGCTCCGTCACGGAACGAATTAAACTTGTAAGTCAAGGCCCCACTGTAAATGTGTGTGTGTGTGTGTGTTATGTGTATATGGTGTGTTGTATGAGTTTTGAGTGTGTGTATGTGGCATGTGTGTATATGTGGCATGTGTGTGTGTGTGTGTGTGTGTGTATGTGGTATGTAGTCAGGGCTGCCAAATCTTCTGTGGGCTGATAAAGGAGACCAAGTGTTATCTATAGCTGCAGGCCTGTCTGTGGCCCTTCAGTGTGGCACCCCATGTGGATTCCAGCCCCCCCCTCCCTCAGATTTTTGCTCCCTAGACTCTGAGACACTGGAAGGAAGGAAAACTTGTTGAACAGACTCATGAGAGGCTGGAAATAGACCCATTGACACAACCTCTGCATCTTAAGAGTTCTGTTATTTACTTTGGAGATGTGTCCTTTTTGAGGCTGATCAAGGGCCTTGGTCAAGGGGACAAGACATGGCACTGAGTTAGCTGTGGTATCAGGGTGACCTTTGGCAGGTTCTGGGTGTCTAGAGAGGAAGTGGACATTGGCTGTGGCTAACGGCAGCAGGCCCAGGCCTCTGGCCCAGGCAATGGGGCTGCTGTAAAGAGTGTGCCTTCCTCTGTTGCCTTGAGGAACATAATTCTGGTGCCTAATTCCTCACCAACTCTGGTGGTGCCGCTGGCCCCAGGTGACACCCGGACGAAGGAAGTTAATGGTCATAGCTGCCTGGCTACATAGATAGTGGATAGGCCAGCTTCTTAAGCAGCCCTCACTCCCCTGGTTCTGGGGGCTGTCTTCTCTCTGGGAAGCTTGTGATTCACTGGGCACTGTTAGACTTAGGGCATTGAATGGGGCTCTGGGCCTCCCAGGTGTCCCCCCTGACTCTGTTTATGCCCTTTGGCAGGATGTCCACTGCTCCTGGGCTGCAGCTTGAGCAAAAAACCACAACTGAAAAGAAGCAGGGCTGCCCTGAGCACCAACCCACCGTCTTCCGGCACCACACGCAGTGCCACGCGGTGACACTCTGGTAGCACTTGATACTTTTGTGGCACCGATCACACTTGACCGAGGAGTTCCCTTCCACCCACGCGTGCTGCATCACCTGCAGAAGGGAAGGGAAGGGAAGGATGCCAGGGAAGGCTGCAGAACCACTCCCTGGGCCTGGGCCTGAGGAGAAGGGTCTGGAGGTGCACAGAGGGGTGAGGCCAGAGGGATTGTTTCCTGTTCAGTTTATGCACTGATTGGGTGCCAGGCGGCTTTGCTGCACTACGCTGACACGCTCTCTCCCTGCCTGACCACCATTTTGTTCATTGAGGCAGTTGGAAACCATTTTTCCTGTGTTTTGAATAGCTCATTCACCCTGGCAGTCAAGCCTCTGAGCAGCATCTTGTCTGGCAATCCATCTGTCTGTCTTGCAGAGTGAGGTGCTCATGTGCGCCCTCTTCTGGAAGGCAGCGTGATGCAGGGAAACAGGAGGGCTGGGGCCACAGACAAAACTGGTTGGAATCATTGATTTTTCCATTTGGCAGCAGGGCGATCTTTGTCCAGTTCCTAGACCTCTCTGAGTCTCCGGTCCCGCATCTGTACAAATGGCATAATAAGCCCCACCTCTATGTTTTCTAGGAGGATCAAATGAGATACCACTGATGGGTAACTTCCTGTCAGCCTCAGCAGCCCATCAGAACCATCTGGGGAGCTCCTACAAGTTCTAATACCCAGTCCTCACTGCAGACCAACTAAAATTGAGTCTCTGAGGATGGGAATTGTTGTTAATATGTTTTAAAGCACGCTGTGTGATTAAGGTTTTAAAGCACCCTGTGTGATTACAATGTACAGCCAAGGTTGAGAAGCACTCTAGAAGGAAGTTAGAGGAGAATTCCAAAGAACTTAGTGTGGGTCAGCAGCCAGTGGCTTTCATATCTGTTTCCTGGAAAGCTGGTTGTACTTGCTTCCTGGCCAGGAAATGGCGCGAGGGCAGCCCAGGAACCTAGAAGCCATGGGAATGCATATGTATATGTGTGTCTGTAAGAGCAAAGTGACCCATGACACCAAATTCTGGGGACCTGAGCCCTCGGTTGTCTCCCCTAGGAATTCTACAGAACTTCCCAAAATTTCCCACAAGGGCACTTTGGATACAGAAGGAAGAGAGTATGCACTGTGGGGGTATACAGGGACCTAGTCTGAAGTGCCAGCTATAAGCACACTATTAAAAACACATGGAATATTTGCATTACACCATCCATGTTTGTATTAAATAAAAGTTTTAAATTACTTATCAATTAAGTTAATAGTCCTCCTTCCAAAGGTTTTTGGTAAAATTCTTATTCTAGCAGACATGTCACTTATTTGAGAATATAAAGAATCCAGTTTGTGAATCAATTTGTCATCTACATGGTCACATTGAATTTGCTCTGAGATTCTTATTATTTCTGTTTCATGGAGAATAAAATGAGGCATCAGAGAGGTTAAGTGACCGGCCCTAGGTTCCAAGGCTGATAAAATGGTCAAGCAGAACCTCATAGCCAGGTCTTCTGACTCCAAATCTATGGTTGTCTACCAACACCACATTGCCTTCTCCATCCTCTTCTGGGATTGGAAGAGATGGTGAAGGACTTGGGTTGCCCCTGGAGACTCAGAAGATCGTGTCCTGCTGACCCCTCAGTGGCCTCTCTCTGCTCTGTGTGTGGCAAGTGGCCAGAGTGCAGGCTTAGGCCTGAGCCCAGGAGAAGTACCATGCATCCTGGTGAAAGCAGGGATATGGAAAGGTGTGTGCATGCGTGTGGTGCAGAAGTAGACAAGAGGCCATGCGGTGTCTCATGGGGCATGCATGTGTGTCCCGGGAGGCGCCCTTCTCTCTTGGAGTTCTGTGGGGGAGGGCTGGATATCACTCCCACCTGCTAAGCATCTCCTGACTCAGATTTCTCATTGGAATCTTCCATGCAGGAACCCAAGAGTGTCCTTTCCCTGCTAATTTTAAGAGTCCATTTCCAGATTCGATGAATGGCACCACAACAGCCAAGTTAGAAACCTGGGAGCCATTCCTGACCTCTTCTCTTCTCTCCATCACCAAGTCCTAGTGGTAGTACCTCCAAATTATCTCTCAAACTCTTCCTTCATCTTCTCTTTACATGAGCCAGTTGGATAGTCAAAGTACTCAACAACTGGCATGGCTGGCGAAGACTCAGCAAGACACAGCCACCACCGTGCTACTGCGGACACGTCAGCATAGCAGGTGAGTGCAGACCCCACCCCAGTCAGGCCCTCAGTGCAGCACTGCCTCTTGCCTGAACTGTTGGAAGAGGTTTTCTCCCTCAGATATCTTTCCTGCACCACGGTCAGAGCAATTAACCTAATTTGCAAACCCAATGATCTCATGCTCAAAGCTCTTCAATGTCCCCTCACGAAACTCCTTCCCAACTCCTCAGCTGGCCTCACAGACCTCCCCAGGCTGGATCTCACTGTCAGAGCACAGCTCCTGCCACTGCCCTTTAAGCATCCTCTGTTCCAGCCAGGCAAACAGGTACAGACCTCAGAATAAGCCATGTGCCTGGTCCACCTTGATGCCTTATGAAGTCAAAGTACAAGGTACAAGGTTCAAGGTTCAAGGTACAACTCAAATGCCATCTCCTTTGTGAAACCTGCCCTGGCCTCCTCCTCGGTACCTCAACTGTACGTCCCACACAATCGCTACTGTTCATCTCATTACCTCATGCTTTGCTTCTGCTCCTGTCTCTCTCCCACTAGATGGCACAGTTCTCCAGCAGGCTGAAGGCCACCTTATAAGCTGCATACCCCTTAGCAGAGTGCCTGGCACATGGTGGGGACCAGGGAGATGCTGAATGGATTGATGGATGAACAAGATGGTTTAAGGGTGGTCCTCGGGGCAGAGAAGGGACTGGATAAAGCTCCCAAAGCCCCTTCCTGCCCAGGAATCTGGTGATGGACATGTAGCCTGGGACACGGCATGCAGTAGGACAAGGCAATAGGTGTCACCAACCTCGCTGCCCCTTTTGGTTCTTGAGTACGTTTTGACACAGCCAGGAATGTTTTTGGATACACAGCGTTCGTGGACGGTATATTTACAGTCTGGAAAAAAAAGTAAGGAAAGTACTCGTGAGTGACCATGTAGGAAAGGTCCAGCCAGCCCTCCACACTCCAGATGAGTCTGACTAGGTGACCAGTCAGGGGCAAGGGGACATACGGAGCTGGCCTTGCCTAATGGAAATTCAAAGCAGTCTCCAGTTGTTCTTTGGGAAGAGAGTCCACGGTTATCTCCCAGACATGCTCCTGCACGCTCCACCCTGCCACACTTGGGCAGTGAATTTGGGGTGAAAACATGGCACGGAAAAGCGCTTTCCACTCAAGGGTGGGGGAGGAGTCATCCTCCTCGCTATGCCAGCGCCACAGTATTGTGTGTCGGGGATGCTGCAGGTGGGCAGAAGGCCAGGGGTCTTCCTAACTGGAACAGGTGGCCCTGAACTCTGGCTCTGCCATTTGTAACGACCCTCATGACCTTGGGTAAGTTTTCCACATCTCTGAAATTCAGGGTTTTCTACGAAATGGGAATAAAATCGCCTCTCTTTCTCTTTACAGGACTTTTGCAGCATTAAATGAGATACTTTGTGGTTTTTAAAAATCATTTCTTAAAATTAAATCTTTATTGTTGAAGGTATTACATATGTTCCCCTTTTCCCACCATTGACCCCATCTAGCCAGCCCCCACCCCTCAGCCCAGGCCTTTACCACCCTATTGTCTGTATCCATGAGTTATGCATATGCATACTAGTTCTTTGTTCATCTCTTCGCACACACCCACCCACCCACCTCTGCCTTCCCTCTGAGATTCCACAGTCTGTTCCATGCTTCTATGTCTCTGGACCTATCTCATTAAATGAGATACTTTGTATAAAGCACCATGTGTCTGGTCAGAATAGCTATTCCACAAATTATTATCACCATCACTGTTGTTACTACACTGATTGCTATGCAATCAGAAGGGCCCACAGACCTGGAACCTGATAGGAAGGAGATGGGGTCTCTCAGAAGTGGTGAGAGCTGGATTTGAATGGGTGCTGGAAACACTGGCAGACCCCTTCTTACACCTGCTGATGCTCTTCCTGGACATTGGCCCCAACTCTGTCAAGATGTGTGTCGGGGATGCTGCAGGTGGGCAGAAGGCCAGGGGTCTTCCTAACTGGAACAGGTGGCCCTGAACTCTGGCTCTGCCATTTGTAACGACCCTCATGACCTTGGGTAAGTTTTCCACATCTCTGAAATTCAGGGTTTTCTACGAAATGGGAATAAAATCGCCTCTCTTTCTCTTTACAGGACTTTTGCAGCATTAAATGAGATACTTTGTGGTTTTTAAAAATCATTTCTTAAAATTAAATCTTTATTGTTGAAGGTATTACATATGTTCCCCTTTTCCCACCATTGACCCCATCTAGCCAGCCCCCACCCCTCAGCCCAGGCCTTTACCACCCTATTGTCTGTATCCATGAGTTATGCATATGCATACTAGTTCTTTGTTCATCTCTTCGCACACACCCACCCACCCACCTCTGCCTTCCCTCTGAGATTCCACAGTCTGTTCCATGCTTCTATGTCTCTGGACCTACCTCATTAAATGAGATACTTTGTATAAAGCACCATGTGTCTGGTCAGAATAGCTATTCCACAAATTATTATCACCATCACTGTTGTTACTACACTGATTGCTATGCAATCAGAAGGGGCCCACAGACCTGGAACCTGATAGGAAGGAGATGGGGTCTCTCAGAAGTGGTGAGAGCTGGATTTGAATGGGTGCTGGAAACACTGGCAGACCCCTTCTTACACCTGCTGATGCTCTTCCTGGACATTGGCCCCAACTCTGTCAAGATGGCTGTTGTGTCCGAGGTCACCTGCTGCCTAGCTCAGGTGTACATGTTCAGAAGAACTGCTCCGATGACGTGGACTGCACCCAAGGGCCCTGCCTGCAGCAGCAGCTCCCCAGTCTCTGGTGGGTTCAGACCTGTCTGCATTGTGAGTTGATTGGCAGGACTCTGCACCCACATACTCTGACCCACAAAGCCTTCTCAGGGCAGCCCCTCCCATCTCCTGCTCCCTGAGTCACCCCCTTTCTAACTAACATCAGCCCTCTGTCTTCCTTCCCTCCATCTCTCTCTTCTGTCTCCTTCCCAGGCTCCCTTCCTACTTTTTCCCTTCCCTGGTTTTTTTCTCTTCTCCCATTTGACTTTACTAAATGGATTATAAAGTGAAACAAATGGATAGTTTTCATTTCCACTGCATTTACAAATACATTTTCATGTTACTTATTAATAAAAAAACACACCCAGGTTCTTCTGGCCACCCGAAATATTCACTAGCAAAACCCAAGTGAAATTAGTATGAGATGCTTTTTAATTATATGTGAGCCTTAATAACTTTTCTCGGGGGGCAGGGGGACCTGTGGCCCATGATGGAACTCCAACAATGGGACACTACTTATCCATTTGACTTGGGTAGAAGAAAAATAGGACATGGAGGTCTTGCTTCATTCCCTGCTGTGGAACAATATGGGAGGTCCCTCGAGCTAGGAAGCAGAAATACATAGACTTTTTCTGGAATGGCTCAACCACGTGCAGAGCAAGACAGTTCCTGGGGAAGGGGGTCTGAAGGACGTTTACTCACACGTGCAACACAGGCCTTGCTTCCTCACGCCCATCAGCATGACATGGCAGAAGTTGCAGTAGGTTGGTTTCTTGAAATGCTTCATGGTCCAGGCGTGCCTGCCATCCCCCTTGGAGCCCTATGGGAATAGAGAAGGAATGGGACTCGGAGCAGGCAGCCCTAAGCTAGCAGAAGCCTGGGCCTGCCTCCTGTTCTATCCTTTTACTTCGCAAAAGACTCTCTTCTCATATTTGGAAGACAAGATATACATTTATTTTACTGACTATTAAAAAATTGAAATCAAAACTAAGTTCTTGTCTGTGTGTGTTTTCTAAAATGAGCAAGTATTAAAAATTAAGACTATCTGAGCAGGAGTATGTGTGTGTGGGATAACACAAGACCTCTTCTACTTGGCTGGTGGAAGTGTAAATCCAAACAAACCATCTATCTATCTATCTATCTATCTATCTATCTATCTATCTATCTACCTACCTACCTATCCACCTATCTGTGATTAGGTTGGTTTCTTGAAATGCTTCATGGTCCAGGCGTGCCTGCCATCCCCCTTGGAGCCCTATGGGAATAGAGAAGGAATGGGACTCGGAGCAGGCAGCCCTAAGCTAGCAGAAGCCTGGGCCTGCCTCCTGTTCTATCCTTTTACTTCGCAAAAGACTCTCTTCTCATATTTGGAAGACAAGATATACATTTATTTTACTGACTATTAAAAAATTGAAATCAAAACTAAGTTCTTGTCTGTGTGTGTTTTCTAAAATGAGCAAGTATTAAAAATTAAGACTATCTGAGCAGGAGTATGTGTGTGTGGGATAACACAAGACCTCTTCTACTTGGCTGGTGGAAGTGTAAATCCAAACAAACCATCTATCTATCTATCTATCTATCTATCTATCTATCTATCTACCTACCTATCCATCTATCTGTGATCCTTTAAATGTTTATAACCGTTGACTTACCATGGTACAAATTTTCTTTCTTGGATTCATTCCTAAAAAATCAGTTTTGAAGGAAAGATGAGCATTTCTGTGCTCTGTCAGATGTTTAACTCGGCATTATTTATTTAAAATAATTCAAAACTGGAATATCCTAAAGGTATCAAAGTTACCAAAAGGTTAGTTGTGGTAGAGCCATGTGATTAAAGGTTAAGTGGCCATCAAAAAGATACTTATAAGAATGTCTAGCCCTGGCTGGTTTGGCTCAGTGGATAGAGCGTCGGCCTGCAGACTGAAGGGTCCCAGGTTCGATTCCGGTCAAGGTCATGTACCTTGGTTGTGGGCACATCCCCAGTAGTGGGTGTGCAGAAGGCAGCTGATCGATCTTTCTCTCTCATCGATGTTTCTGACTCTCTATCCCTCTCCCTTTCTCTCTGTAAAAAATCAATAAAGTATATTTTAAAAAAAAAGAATGTCTAATGGTGTGGGAATGTGCTCGTGACACAGCACTAAGTGAAAAAAGCAGAATGTAAATTTGAGGACCTATTATAATCTCAGTTTTATATAGTAAGATCTTTCTGGTGGGGAAAAATGTCACCAAACTGTTAACAGGCTCGATACAGCTGGAAGCACCATGAATTCATTTTATTCTCTAATTTTTATTTTCCTTTGTATTTTCCAAACTTTCTATAATTGGCATGTACTAGTTTTATAATCAGAAAAAAAGTAGTTTAGTAAAAACAATGCACCCTCTCATCAACTTTCTTGACACAGATAAAATAGTCAAGAGACAGTCGGACTTGGCTCAGAAGCGAATTCATCCTTACCTGCTATATAAGCCAAGCATCTTTTAATCACACACCTTCCCTGGACACCAAAGCACCAAAGCTCCTACCTCTAGCCCCTGGTAGCACAGCCTTGTTGGAAGCTGTGGCTTCAGGGACATCCCTCCACGCCTGCTGTCCCCGAACCTTTCTTAGAGGCTCCATCAAAAGAGCATCACTCTTGGCTGGTGCGTAGGGTAGAATAAAGCACCCTAGTAAGGCGGTGAGAACTGACTGTCAGGTACACAGAATCCAGCATGCCCGACTCAAACCCAGCTCTTACTTTTGGGCCCCTCTGGTTTGCACTGGTCACGGCAATCAAATCCATTTCTATGCCAAGTCTTCTGCTAACGGTCTCTAGAAGAGCCTGTATGGGTTTCCAAATGCGGGGCTCCCCTCGGGCCAGCTCATTTCTTCTCACCACCTCAATACCCTGCTTCTTCCAAGACCAGAGTTTATAGAATTACAGCCTTTATATCTAATGGTTTCTATAAGTAAAGCTTCTAATCCAGTGTCCGACAATTAAAACTTATTAAGTTCCTACTCTGTGCTGGATAGTAAGGGACACAAAGATAAGTAAAGTGTTTTCTTATGTGTAAGGAGGTAGATTTATGCCTGTTCTGGGAATGAAGAAATGGAGACTCAGAGAAGTTACATAAATATCCCAAGACGACACAAATAATAAGTGACTGAATCAGTAGTCAAATTGGGGCTCTTACTGGCACCAGAGCTTGTCCTCCTTCCATCTTTCCCCCTTTCTCCACATACCAGGGTTTTTCTTTATGAAAGGAAACTACAGCTCAGCAGACCCAAAGGACTGTCATTTTTACCTCAGAAATACCTTTATTAGCTAAATCAGGTACTGTTTTCATAGATTTGCAGTAAGAAGCAAAGGGACCGTGGCTTAGAATAAAGTAACATTTCCGCTTGGGCTACAGCGCCATCATGTGGCTCTTTCATTTCTGCACATTGGCAGCTGCAGGATGTGGGAGTAACCTTCCTCTTGCATGCCAGGCTTTCTGCCGCTGCTGCAATTTCACGGGGAGACAGACTGCTTGGCACATATTGCATTCAGAAATCCCCAGACTTATCAGGGGCCCCATGTAGGTTTTGAAAAAGCCAAATAAGCACTGTGACTTTTAAGACACTTAGGAATGCTTTCTCTGAACCCTTAATATTAAGTGTAGAAAGGTACAATTTAGTGTGTATTTAAAAATAAGTGCATAACACTTTTGATGAACAAAAACTAAATTTACATTTGTTCTTTGTTTGCCACTTTCTTGATATACAGTTGGTTTTCTATAAAGCTGACTTGGCTTTGGGAAGAGACAGCAGGGAAAATGGTCTGTCTCTCCCTCCTCTAGCCATAAAACAGTGGGTCCCCTCCATGTGAAGAGTTGGTGGCACTTTGGAGTCAGCAAGCCCAAAATAGGAAATCAAAAAAAGATGTTGGTTTCTTATGATTAAAATGCCCCATCTCTATTTCCATATTTAGTGAAAAAACAATGTTAACACCCAATAAACCAAACACACAGGTATGTTGGAACAGCACCTAAGCAGAACTTCCATTCTGACTCAGGTATGATCTTGAGTATTGATAGCAGGAAGTTGATCTTACTTATCTGAGTGCCCCCCTGCCGAGTCCTAGCTCACATAGGTTCTTGCACTTAATAGGTTCTTGGTAAGGGATCATTGGACGAGAGGTCTGCTGTTCCTGAATATGGAGGATGGTACCTGGTAGTAACTGTCTGTGTGTTCTTGGTCCCTAGGTTTGCAAAGTGAAGGGGACAGATAAAGGATCGCCAAGGTCTTCTCCAGCTCTGACTGCCTAGGATTCCAAGGAATATAAAGGCAGTTGTGCAGATCCTGGTTCCCGAATTTCTGCATAGCCCTTGGAAAGAGCTGCACATACCAGGACGTGACTGCAGGATTCTTAGCTCTTGAATATTGGAAATGAAGGCCCAGCTTCAGTCCTGAGTTGCAGAACTGTCCTACAGAGACAGTACAGGCAACCACAGCACTTGGAGGCTCACCCAGCTGAAAGCTTCCTGTTCTGTTCCTCTGTATGACACTTCAGAATTTCAAAGAGGTGCTATCACACAACCTATGTGACTGTCCTGGCAAATGCTTCAAAGGCACAATTTGTACTTTTAGCTCATGCATGAAAGTTACTTTCACTTGGTAAATAAGCAGAAAATGCAGTGACTGACTAGGTCAGGTCAGGTATATATAACCAATAATTTTTCATGAAGTCTCTACATGTATCCCCTACTCTGATCCAGCTGGGAGGTTTTTCTGAAACACCTTAAACTTTCTTTCATTTGTGTCTTTGATCAAGCTATTCTCTTGGCCACAAACTTTCTCTTCTAGCATCTTCTACCACTGAATCATATCCATCCTTGGGAAGCAGATCAAACATCCTCCTAGGTCCTTCCACTTGACCTTTATCTCAACAACAGGTTATCAAAATCCCACACATCCTTCAGGACCAGAGCAAACATCCTCTGATATTTCTTCCCACAGGTCTCACTCCTAAGTGTGGGTCCTTAGAAAGTGAAGTATCTTTGGAGCCAAGTACAAATACATTCTGACGCCTCTCTTTGCTCCTTAGGCTAAGAATTTCGGCTTTCCATTTATATAAATTGGAGGGGACGGGGAGAATACCTACCTTATCTGGTTGTTTTGATAGATCAGTACTTTTCCCTTCCCTTTCTCCTTCTCTTCCCTCCTTCCCCAACTCTCATAGCATTTTTCAACCTAGTTCATGGAAAAGATGGAATTCTTCCTTGAAATTTTTTTGCCCTTTGATTGGTTGAGTATAACCTTCTGGTGGGTGAATATCTGTGTCCCTTCACAGAGCTCAGAACAATATCTTTATTTACTAATAATTTAGTACATGCTGTCAAATGAATGAATATATTTCAGTCACTAATAGGTAAAAGAGAGGTCTTCGAGGCTGGCCTAGAGCATATGGTTTGTCCATTGGGGCAGAAGCCAATGTGATGTGTAGATACGAACTTCCACATAGAGCTTGATGTTCCTGAAAGGTAAGAGATCTGAACTCAGGTTTGCTGACTTACAGAGTCGTCCATGCCCAGGAGGACCAGCAATGGGATGGTGGTCATCCCTCCGTGGACCCATTCCTGTAGAGACACAAAGCCGTCCCGGTCGTAGTCCATCCCTTGCAACATCTCCTTCAATATCTGCGGAATCCACAGAGCAGCAATTGTCCACTTTCATCCTTGACTTCTCTGCCCCTACTGCCCTCTTATTTCTCTTTTGTTCTGCATAGTCTGGCTTGTGTTTTTCCCCCTTCCATTCTAATTCACAGGGAGTAGAGCAGTGAGGGAGCAAATGGGGGTGAGGAGACCAGAGCTCCAAGCCCCGCTCTGCCTGACCTGACTGAGCAGCCTTGGGCAAGCCAGCCATCCGACTCTCTAGGTTCTGCTTTGCTCATCTGTGGAATGGAAATAATATTGCTATGTATGCAGCACTGTAATGGGGACTAGAGAAAAGGTATATAGAATGTACATTTATATAAAAAATTATTATTACCTGGTGATGAAGGAAAATCTTTAAAATTCATTCTAGCTCTAAATTCTTTGATCTATGAGCTCTTGTTATAAAAATTTAGCTCTGGGGAAAAGGTCAGAGGTAATTATTATTTGAATTATATTTACATTTTCCCCTGCTGCCTATAGTTTTTCCTATCATCAAAGTGGGAGGTCAAGATGTAGGACCCCTAAGAAGCTGCCTGTAGCAGAATGAGTCTGGGAGATCCTGCCCATTTTATCCTGAGAGCGTCCCGCTTTTCTCTTGGGAGTCACCCCATGTTTCCAGAAACTCACAGGCCTTAGCTCCGTGGGATCCCACTCAAGATACTGAGCAATGTGCAGCATCTGGTTGACAATACGATCCATCTCCTAGAAAACATCAAGGCGAGAAACCAAGTGAAGATGTGTTTTTAAGAGCAAGGCTCAACATTAAACCCTGTGGGAAGACGGGCAGGGCAGAACACGGGAAGCAGCTGGTGTAATATCCTGGCATTTCACGGGGAGCTCGCTACTTGTTTCTGCTCTTTATTCTGCCTTGACCACAAAGCTCAGTGGAGAGTAGATGCTCACAAGAAGCACAGAAGATGGTTAGCCAGAGGTATGCTGAAAGCTCTCTGGACACTGACCTCCTTGGACCCATCTGGACTCACCTTCCTTCCCCTAGTCTGGGCTTTGACTTAGAGATCATAGGAGGCACTCCCGTTTTCTCCTTCTTTGCGATCTCAACTCTCTCACATGCTTACAAACCAAAGCGGTCTCTCCCCCCTCTTTAGTCACTCCTCATTCCCACAGCTTTACTGACTTGGAATCCACCTATACCCCTCAGAGGTCAGTGTCAGGTGGATGTAGGGCCTCTGTGTGAGTTCCTAGTTCAGATACTGTGATTTAGATCCTTTTGGCATCGCCTCTATTTCCTTTGTGTCACGTCCAGCCCTGAACCCAGGACTCTGAACAGGAAATTCATGAGGGGTTCATTGGCCTGGTGAGTGAGCTTTTCACTTGCTACTTAGGCCAGCTCTATCTGAAACCTCACATAATTGTTGTATGCTAAGGAATCAGGGTGCCCAGAGTCTCACTGAAATACGCTAGACCAAGGAGGCATTTGCATCTCTTGGGCACAATCTAAGATGTTAATGGTGAGATCAATGTGGGGAGACACTGAAACAAGGTTCACAAGTGTTACCTCCACCAGGTAGAATGCTGGCTCAAAACAAGCAAGCAAAAAAGCAACAGGGATTTTAAAATTGTATTTCATTCAAATTAAAAAAATAATTCATTTCAAAACTGCAGATGAGGTGGTAGATGGGGAGGAAGCAGGCAGAGAGGTGAGGACAGGGTTCTACAGAAGTTTCCATGGAAAAGAGCTTGTGAATCTAGTTGGGACTAAAATTTAACGAGTAAACAATGTGACTCAGGAATGAGAATTAGACTCAGCCTTGAACTGTGTAAATGGGTGGGCATTTCCAGGAAGAACTGGCTGTTCTGATGTCTACCCTTGTTAGGCCACCTGTGTGGATGATTAACGAGTCATGTTTTAAAAATGGCATTGACAAACCAGAGCTTGACCAGAGTGCATGTTTAAGCCTGCCTCTGAGTAAGTATGAGGATGGGGAAGTCTGAGCTTGGGGGACATTTTACAGGAGATGTGATAGTACCTTCAAATACTTGAAGGCTGATTGTGTAGAATCGATATCCACTGATCAGCTGTCCTGGTCAGCTACAGAGGCCAGAAGCAAGCCAATGGGTATCAGGAGGGATTTGTTGAGGGCTGGCTTATTTTGGCTTCACTGCTGGGTTGGGAAAGGGAGAGGGGAAACAGAAGCAGGTTTCATGGTAAAAGTTTCCCCAGCAGACCAGAGGTGCCTTTTGTGTAGGAAGGAAGCCCTCGCTGAGTCACCCTTGGCGGTGGAGTGGCTGTGTTAAGGCAGTGGTTGAACTCTCCAGTACTGGGAATGATCACAAAGAGGCTGGGCGCCCAGCTGCCAGGGATTCTCAGTGGGAAGTTGAATCAGGTAACTCTTTTGAGACTGCTTTAGTCATGTGATGTTATTCTCCAAATACATCTGAAATCTAACCACTTCTTACTACCTACAATGCTTCTACCCTGGTGCAAGTTACCATCCTTTCTTGTCTTGCTGATTTCAATAACCTCCCACCTGGTATCCCCACTTGTGCCCCTATAGTGTAGACAACACAGGAGCTACAGTGATCCTGTTATAACCCAAGCCAACCATGTCACTCCTCTGTGCAAAATATCCAATGGTTCTCCATTTATCCAGAGTTAAAAGTAAACCCTTTCAATCACCTAAAAGGCTTCATAATGCTTTGCAAACTTCTTCTACCCCTATCCCATTTCTTTGCTGATCTCATCTCCTATTGCTTACTCACTCTGACCTCACCTGTTCATTCATTCTGCTACAGTCACTCTGGGCTCCTAGTTAATCTGCTAACATTCCAGGCACCCTTCAGGACCTTTGCACTCTCTGTTCCCTCTCCTGGAAGGCACTTAGGTGTTCCCAGGACTTATAGTTCCTCACCTCCTTCAAGTCTCTGTTCAGATGCCCTCTCCTCAGGGAGACCTTCCTGGCTCCTCCAGCTAAAACAGCAGCTCCCTCCAACACTTCCTTCTCTTTATTTTTCTCCTAGCACATATTTTACTATGTGAGTTTGCACTAAAATGAAAGCTTCATTAGGGCATAGGTTTGTGTGTGTGTGTTTTTTTGGAGTTGGCTCACTGATATATACGCAGTATTTAGAACAGTGCCTGGCACATAGTAGATAGTTAATACATGCATGTTCCCTCACATGACATAAACCACAGCATTGCAATGTGGCCGTAGGGCTCCCACAAAGACACCCTGGAGTCTGGAGGAAATTGGGATGACTTAGTTGGTCTAGTGAACTTGTTCCCTTTCTTCTTCCCTCTGTTCTGACTCAGCCCTATGCTCCTCAACCTCAGAGCCTTTCTGTGAAGGAGTTCCACCTTTCACGTTGCCAGTCATGAAGCCAAGGCCTGCCTGACTCTATTTGCCATCTGCCTTCTTCCTTTTCTATCCTTCCTCTCACTCCATGATCACTGACCTGTCCCTGTCTATTCCTGAGGGAACTGGGTGGGGAAGGGAGGGGAGACCGACCTCAGGCTTTCCCAGGTACAATGAAATAGGATCATGTGCTCCGAGCAGACAGAATGAGACTCCTAGAGCCTCATGAGAGGAAGGTGATGGTGATGCAGAAGCGCACCAGCAGTTACCTGCTTCCCCCTGCCCTCTTGCCCTGGTCTTGCTGCCTTTCCTACCTCCTCCCATCTGCTCCTGGACTCCAGCAGGAAATTGCAGGGAGAAGTTCTGAACCCATTAGGGAATTAAACTAGATAAGATACTAAAGCACCTCTCCATTCGAAGATTTTATAATCCTGGGCTTCCGGAATTAAAAGGCAAGTTGGAGTTCACTCTCCTACTAGCTGGCTCTTTGGAAATAGAAGGTGGGGATTCTACTCATTTCTGCAGCCCATATTGAGACATGGCTATTCTTATAAAGACAGAACTCCCATAAAGAGTTTCAGACTCTTCCTCCACCTGTTCTCTTCTCCCCCAGCCTTTCTTGGAAGGTTATTTTGAGAGCTTACCGCTTGATCCAGGAGGCCGTTTTCATCCGAATCATAGAGACGAAACATGACTGCAAGAAACACAGAGATGAGGCTTGAGGGGTCCTCCAGGCACCAGGGACTGGCTCAGGCTCTGTTGCTGCTAGTTTTTAGATCAGTTCTGACTATCACTAGGGCAAAGGCTGTTGCAACCAGCTCACCCACCCTCCAAAGGCACAGAATCTGACTTCCTTACAGGGAAGAGGGGAGAGGGAGGAGAACCAAGCCATCTGACTTCTGGAACTGCCTAAGCAATAACTCTGTAGCCGAGATCCAGGTTATGAGTGTGACTCCCTGTAGGGCATTCACACCTTTCAGCATCACTGGAACACACCTCAGAGCAAATGCCCAGATGGTGGTGAGGCCGTGGTACCAGAAGTATAGTTAGAACATTGCTCATATTGCATGCAGAAGGGTGTGGAGTTAGGCAGATTCAAATCTTGGCTCTGCCCTACCACCTCTAGGGAGTCAAGTCATTCAGGCTCATTTACTTCATCTGTAAAATGGAGATTATAATAGTCTCTTTGTTCTAAATTTTTAAAAATGAGGAATAATATATAAATTATATGCCAACTCTACAATGCTTGGAATGTAGAATGCACTCAACAGATGTTATTTATTTTTATTTCATTTTGTTAAGGAACATTTAAATATGCATTTAATAGGTACAAGGCACTTTATCATTATTGGTCATTTAATCTTCCATATGCTATGAAGCAGTTGCTATTATAGAATCTATTGTATTTCTTTGCCTAGAAGAATAGCATGTCAACATGCCATCACAAACTTACTCTATCATGTTCTAGTAGTAGAGCAGTGACATAGAATAAGGAAGATCTGGGAGAGAAATTGGAGCAAAGGACACAATGTTCATCTATGGGACCTGATAGCTTACATTTTATTCATCTAAAAGATAGAGATCTGTCTGTGGTCTCAGAAGTAAGCAGGGTAGGGAACAGAGCTGAACATGTCTTCATTTTCCTCTCATTCTTTAACACCCTTCCTCATGTCTGCTTTCTCTGTGAGTCACCCCTGACCCTCCCACCACGCCCCCCCACAGACACTCTGGATCTCCCACAGGGTTACAGCATTCCTTAAGTTGCCCTCATGTCATCACTCCCTTCCACGTGTTTTAATGTTTCTGCAGCTTGTTTGTTCAGTGGTTCATCCCTGCTTGGAGTTTAAGTTGTGTAAAGGAGGGTCATGGGCTTTCGATTCCTTGTGACTCTTCAGAATGTCCCGGTCAGAGGCACTTAGCATATGAGGCTGACTCGCCAGACAGATGATTGAATGATGTGAAGAAGGACAGACCTCCCACTATGTTGCTCCCGGACCCTGGATGGGGCAACTCTAACACAGAGCTCTCATGGTCCTACTGTGCATGAAGAGTAGAAGCAGAAAGTGTGAGTAAGCATCCTATCTTTTAGCAGCCTGGCCTTAGACAAGTCATTTAACCATTCTGTGTTTTCTTACGTGTAAAATGAGAATAATTATCTAGAACTTCTAGGACCAGTAAGAGGTTAAAGTGAGATAATGCACTTAAAGTGCTCAGCAAATAAAAAGTGTTCAGTGATGAGAGTTATTGGTATTACTGTATTACTTTTTATTGATAGGTAGGATACATGTTTGGTTGTTAAAAAGAAAAGCTTAACTTGTTTTTAATTATTTAAATCAAAGGAGAATTAAAAATTTTTTTAATTGATTTTAGAGAAGAAGGGAGAGGGAGAGAGAGATAGAAACATCAATGATGAGAATCCCTGATTGGCTGCCTCCTGCACGCCCCACACTGGGGATTGAGCCTGCAACGCGAGCATGTGCCCTTGACCAGAATCAAACCCGGGACCCTTCAGTCCACAGGCCGATGCTCTATCCATTGAGCCAAACCAGCTAGGGCCAAAGGAGAATTTGAATTGATTTGGTTTAATTTTAAAAAAAGAGAAAACTCTACGGGACAAACAACCAAGTTTCTGCAACAGAAAAGTGCAAGGAAAAAAAAATAAGCAAAAGATTAAAAGAGATTGAAGAGACATAGTGATCAATGGCAGTGTATGGACCTTACCTGGATCCTGACTCAGGTAAAATATATAAGATAATTGAGGAAATGTGAATACTGACGGAATGTTTGGTAATAGTAAGGAATTATTGTCTTTAGATGTGATAATGACGTTGTGGTTATATATAAGAAAAACTCATATTTTAGAGGTACATACTGAAATATTTACAGATTAAATTATATGAGGTCTGGAATTTGTTTCAAAATAATCTGAGACAGAGGGAATAAATGGGAGGTATAAATAAACCCAAATTGACAATAAACTGGTAATTGTTGAAGGTGGTTGACAGGAACATTTAAGTTCATTGTGCTCTCTACTTTTATCTATGTTTGAAATTTTTTCTAGTAAAAATTTTAAAACATGCAGTTTCTTTTTATTGGAAGTACAAGACTGAGTCTGAAAGCCACTAATATGAAGCATCTGCCACATCCTGTTTGGTAGTTATGAACAATATAATTCCCGAAATTCAAAATCTGCTGAATGGTGAAAATAATTTGACATTTCACTTTTAACATTAGCCAGAAGAAAGAGAAAGCTGCTACATTTGTTTCCAAATTAGCGCTTAAGACTTGCAACCGTTAACACCTCAAACCTATGGGAGTTGATTTTAAGATCAGCTAACGAGCAAACTGTTTCATTTTGTTCTTGGCAAGGGTTAACCTTTGTCAGACTTTTCCTTGCTAATGTTTAAGTTTGTTGACTAGTCTTATTAATTGCTGGATTTTTTTTTTAACCCTCACTGAAGGATATTCTTTTTCATTGATTTTAGAGAGGGAGGAAGAGTGAGGGAGAGAGAAAGAGAGAAACACTCATGTGAGAGAGAAACATTGATCAGTTGCCCCGTATGTGCCCAGACTCTGGATCAAAACTGCAACCTACGTATGTGCCCTGACCGGGAATTGAACCTATGACCCTTTGGTACATGGGCTGGTGCCACACTGGCTAGAGCTAATTGCTGGAATTTTTACTTTTGCTATAATATGTATGTTTTCCCCTTATGTCTGTTAAGGTCCTAAGAGAAGTCAAAACAATATCATGTATTTTAAAACAAGTTCCTATCACTACCTGTTCTAAAAAGTTCTCCTGTAGGTTCTTGGAGGCCAGTGAGACCATTCCTGGAGTGAGTCATCTGCAAGACTGTCAGCCACTGTGGGCTTTCCTTTCCCTCACCAGCCATTGTTTTCCTCCTGAACATCTTTGAAACCAGCTTTAGTAGTAGTGTGAAACCCAGCTCAACTCCCTTAATTAACTAGACCTCTTTCTCTAGAAGCCAAAAAACTTGGGGTGGGGTGGGTGAAAATGTAAACAAGCTTTAACAAGATGGAAGCTGATTAGATCTCAAAGAGAAAACAGCAACAACATTTCTCAGAGTTATAGAGTTGCTTGGGCACAGAATAGGGGAAGGACGACAGATACTGAATATCTTCTCTTGAAAAATATACTAAGAGGAGGCAGGAGCTTCCTGGTTATAGGCTCTTGGGAAGTCCTGCCAGCAAAGGAGGGGAGTCTTGATCCCTTGTGGAGATCCCTTTCCTTTCCAAATCCCGATCCTCAATATCAAGGTCTCAAATGCACTTCCCACTCTCTATATACCAGGCCCTGTGCCCCAGGGTGGATTCTAGGAAATGTTCACATCACTGCTGATGACAGGGCAGTGAAACCTCCCCTACAGAGGCAGGACAATCTCCAGCATGTCCCAGAACAATCTCCAGCATGTTTACAATGATGCGTAGGACACTCGACCTTCTCCTAGGAAAATGCTGAAAGCCCTTGACAGGGTGAGTACTTACACTCTAGCTTATCCTGAGGTCTCCCTGTCTCCAGCAGAGACAGGTAACACACGACATCCTTCAGGTACACGGTCGGGGGTTCAGAGCCTGAAGACTGAACAACAGGGTTTCCCAGGGAGGTTGCAGCCCCTTGATCTTTAGCGGGCACTTGATTCTCGGTGATCTCTGATTCTGTAATAGGCAAGAAGAAAGCATTCGAGGACTCTTAATGTTTAGTAAATATTAAATCCTTTTCATGTCAGAGGCAAGAAGTTTATATAAGTATCTTCAAAAGCATTGGTTATGTAAATATAATTAAACTAGAGGCTCAGTGCATGAAATTCGTGTACTCGGGAGGGGTCTCTCAGCCCGGCCTGCGCCCTCTCACAGTCTGGGAGCCCTGCAATCAATTGTCCCACAGAGAGAGGCCCTGCTCACCTGCCACAGCACCGCCAGACAGGTAGCCTGGGCCTCCCTCTGTGGGGCGATTGATGGCAGGGCTCTGTGATTGATTGCCCCGCAGAGGGAGGCCCTGCCCACCCGCTGCAGCCCACTGGTTGGTGGTCTGGGCCTCCCTCTTTGGGGCGATCATGGAGCAATAGCTGGGCCCCCTGACCAGTTGCATTGCACCTGCCTTAGCTGGTCTGGCCCCAGTGTGTGTCATAGCATAGTCATCCAGATGGTCATTCTGCTGTTTGGCCATTCAGTCGATTTGCATATTACGCTTTTATTATTATAGACCTGTGATCCCAGAAATCCAGTTTGTGGAGTTTATACTCAGAATGGACCTCATTCTGACTCTTTAAACTGTCTATATCTTTGTAAGAAATTCACCTATACTCTGTGAATTTTCAGAAAAGATGATAGTAGAATGGGGAACCAAGATGGCAGTGTAGGAAAATGCCTGTACTCACTGCCTCCCACAACCACATCAAAATTACAACTAAACTACAGAATAACCATCATCTAGAAGCGCTGGAAATCTGGCTGAATGGAAGTCCAATAACTAGAGAAGTAAAGAAGAAAGCACACTGAGACTGGTAGAAGGCCGCTTTTTTAATTAGGAGGGAGATTGTCTTTGCGGAGGCTGCCTGGAGGTGAAAGGGGTCCCAGTCCCACACCAAACCCCCCAGCCCAGGGTCCCAGAGCTGGGAAAAGAAGTCCCTATGGGAAGTTCTGTAAAAACCAATTGGGGGTTGGGGCTCAGTGACACAGAGACTGCTCCTCTAAAAGGCCAGCACACAAACAACTTACACGCTCCCACTTCCTCTGAGCTCCAGTGCCAGGCGAGGCTCTGAGAGACACAGACACATATGAGGAGAAACTGGACTGTCTGGCATCAGGGCAGGAACTCTGGGGCAGCTTTCTCCCAAATAGAGGTACTAACAGCAGTCATTGTTCCTAAGCTGGGACCTTCCCAGTTGCAGGGCTGACTGGCAGCCATTTCTGTTTGCTCTGCCCAGGTGATTCCCTAAGACCCTGCCTCATCCAATTCACAATCCGACCCAGGCTGCATGCAGTGGCTTTTGCATATGAATGGCCTGTCCTTGCTTAGGCTAAAACCTGTCAAACAAGTTGCAGCTGGGTCAGGGAGCCCAAAACCTATCAATAAAAGGTCCAAGACCCAGCACCAGCACCAGGCTGCCTTACTTCACATCTGGGCACTTTCAAACCCAATACAAAGAGGAGGAATCTGCAGATTTTTCTGTTGCTCCTGCTGGGTGGCCCCAGGCAGTAGCTGACTTTACACCTCCCTGGAGACCCGAGAGCAGTTTAGTGTCAGACCATACCAGATTACTACGCTACACATCCATAAGCTACACACTCAAGAGGCAGATTCAGTGAGCTCCAAAGCCCCACTGAAGCAAGTCCTGCTCCATAAGGGTGTCTCCTGCAAAATAGCTCTCCCACTGTAGTCTCAGCTGGTCCCCACAGCCAATTGGCCTGGAGGTCAATTCCTTCCAGTGACACCAACAGCAATCAAGGCTCAACTACAACAAGACTGTGCACACAGCCCACAAAGGGGTACATCTAGAGTGTCCACCTCAGGTGATTGGGTAGGCTGAGCCACTGGGCCCTATAGAACACCTACTACACAAGGCCACTCTATCAACACAAGGAGACTTAGCAGCTCTACCCAATACATAGAAACAAACACAGGGAAGCAGCCAAAATGCAGAGACAAAGAAACAAGTCACAAATGAAAGAAATAGATGAAAGCAAAATGCTGGATATAGAGTTCAAAATCATGATTATAAGGTTACTCAAGAATCCAAGGGACTTAGTGAGACTTTCAAGGACCTTAGTGAGAATGCCAAAGAAAGAATGGAAAAGGACCAGTCAGAAATTAAGCATACACTGACTGAAATAAAGAATAATATACAGGGATTTAACAATAGACCAGAGGATCCTGAGAATCAAATCAACGATTTGAATTCGAGGAAGCACAAAACACCCAACCAAAAGAGCAAAAAGAATACAAAAATATGAAGATAGTGTAAGGAGCCTCTGGGTCAACTTTAAGCATATCAACATCTGAATTATGCGGGTGCCAGAAGAAGATATTGAAAACCTATTTGAAGAAATAATGACAGAAAAGTTCCCCTACCTGGTGAAAGAAATAGGCTTGCAAATCCAGGAAGCACAGAGAACCCCAAACAAGAGGAACCCAAAGAGGA